AAATCAAAGCTTAAAGGATCTTGTAATAATTATCTACGTTTTAATTCTTACACAAGTCTTTCGGTTTTGAAAACTAGTGAAGTGCCGATACCTATTAATAATATCTCTCCCACATAGTGACTACTTGGGAGGCCTTCTTACTGCCAAGTAGCGCGGGCTTAGTCGGTTGTATTAAAGTACCTAATAATATAATAAAATTTATGGTGTATCTTCTTTCTAATTAACCAATTCTCATTATTTTATATTATGAAATAATTAATAAAAAATAATGTTGATACTGTCAACCATGAACGAATTATGGCTAATTCGTTCATGCTGTCAACATTCGGTCTGATAATAATTATGAAATATGTACCTACTACCCGCCTACTTTATTTTTTGTACTTTAATTTCGACTTCTTTAAGCTGTTTCTCTATTCTTTTACTTTTGTTTTGTAAGTTACTTAGTGTTGATATAGCGTTACGCGTCACGTGACCATGTCGATGACGACTTACATGAATTTACTCCCCATCCAAACCTGTTTATAGAAGTTTTGACTTCAATAAATAATATTCTTTAGAACATAAATAATTTTAATAATATAATCGCATAGCCATTGTGGCAATACTATACCTATTTATTTAAAAAAAACATATGTATAAGTACGTATTTTATTTACATACTCCATTACCTTATCTAGAAGATAACTTTATTTTAGGACATGACCTGGTTGTTTACGTTCCAACTTTAATAACATATATATTTAAAATTTAAATCATATATTTTTTGTAGATATCACGTTACATTTTCTTTATACTTACATAAAACTTTTTCTGTAAGTAATATGACAACACTGTAAAGTGTATTAAAATTTATAAAATAATAGAGAAAATATAATTAGTCCCTCCACGACCGCGGACACGCCAGCGTTACAGTTAACAATAGATTTCTTAGAAATTTACCTGGAGATGTAAGATTGTAAAACTACACTGAAGGAATTAAATATTTTCGATAACGCCCCACTATCGATCAAAAAAATACTTTTGATGGATGCGCAATGCGCATGCGCCCCACGCCCTACCTACTACGGTACATTATTTGTAAAATGTTTAGTATTATCAACATATTTTTCTTTGCACTAAGGTGCAAGTACTATATTAAAAATACTGATTAAACCTTCTTCCAGGAGGTTATAAATTGGACGAGTCTATTTGATAAGTCTATTTGATATAGATAAATGTTAAGAAATAATTGAGTAGGTATCTCGATGTAGGCACCTCTTACTTTCAAACTACATATAAGATAAATTAAGTATATTCTGAACCACTACCTATCATATTTTTTATTACTTAACTAAATCTAAATTAAGTACTAACTAGTACTAACTACGTCACGTCATAATTTTTTTCTTAAACATATTTTTCATAGTACATGGTAATATAATATATTCAGTATATTCCCAATTTTATATGGGCAATTCTTTATACAAATATATAAAAAACCATTATTTTGCAAGCTGCCATGTCATAGATACGACTAAAAAGTTTTTCCCAAAATTCTAATTCCCTGTTAAAAACTTTAATAATGAAAGGATTTATTTTATACTAGCCGATTAATATTTTACAAATTTATTGACATGGGTTCGAAGATTATACAACACATATATTAATTATAATGTTATATAAATAGGTACTAAATTTTATCGCCAAAGTAAACAAATGCATTTACTTGTGAAGGTCAACCGCAATAAAATACGACGCAATTACTTGAATATGAAAATGATATTAAATTCAACTTTTAGTGGAATTTTGTTGCGGTACCTAAAAAATGGAATTAAACAGTACCCACCTTATTTTTTATCCTTGCCATTTCTCTTGCATTGATTTTAGGTCAATCAAGGATATACGCGTCAACCGGGCGATGACTCCGCCATTTTAGATTCTAACGGAACTTGCCACTTCTCATAATATACTCCAAATCCCGAAACATATTACAGATATTGTATAAAAGCTAGGTACTACATTTAAAATGTAAATAGCCTCTGCCTAAATCTAAAATATCCTAAAATACATAACGATAAACCTGAACCTCGCCACTACACTATTCGAAAAGGTATCGTGGTGGCTCCGTGGAAACAAGGCTTTTATAGCGAGTACTCGATACGCCACAGTGATTATAACCCGTACAAATAAAAGAGGGCTGGTTTACAGCGAAAAGGACTTAACAGTAACTGGACTTTCAACTTAGCAGCATTACCCTTCTAGAATGTTCTTTGTCTGTTAAAATGATTAAATGAGATGTCGCTATAAGAGTGACAGAGATGGCGTAAAGCTTCTGGAATATTCCATTACAGTATAGTGTAAGAGCTAACACTTGATTTATGAAAAAAATTAAAACATTTTAAATATGTTTCAAAAAAAAGACGTGTGGCACTCGAAGACTGCCGCGGTAAAGCTATTGCATAGCATTTTTTATCAAATTATGCAATTATAATTATTTATTTATTTTATTAATGCAGTGTTTTTTTTCCTTGACTTTCTTCATTAATAAATGCACTTTGTTTATTCATATTTAAAACACTTTGTACACAAATTATACGAGTACAGATATTCACTGTTGTACATAGATGATAAATACCTATACACCTATATACTTTCTCACAAACAGCTGATTACGGTAGTTTTCCAATACAACCAATGCTACCTAAAGGCGGGTTGCTGAACTAAAGAGACAAGCGTGATATTTCAAAAAGTCATTAAAAGTTCTGGTATTTATCGAAAGATGGAAGTATCACTGCTGTGCCGGTCGGAGTGGGGGGTGTCAGGTTTTTTTCGTTACGGAATTTCTGGATTCGGTCCCCACGCTCAAGGCCCGCGATAGAAGCTATGCAATAGCTTAAAATTGTTTTTATACAATACTAGTGAATTACGGTCGTTCGCTTCGCTCGGGTCCGTCCCTAGCTTGCTTCCAATATAAACTTTTATCCCCATTTTTACCCCTTTAAAGGATGATTTCCGGGATAAAAAGTGTCCTATGTCCTTCCCCAGGGTCTAAAACTATCTTCTTACCAAATTTCGTCTTAATGGGTTCAGTAACTCCAGAGATTACCCCCTTACAACGTCACAAACTTTACCTCTTATAATATTAGTATATATATAATATAAAAATTTCATTTAATGTACATTTATATACGGCTTATTTAAGTTATGAAAAATCATGAAAGCAAAAAATATGAAACTTTACCTAAATTATATAAAAATGAAACAATTATAATATCAGAAAAATAATAAGTTTAACTTTAATGGAAAAGCATTATTTATAAAAAAAAATAAGAAAATATTTATTGTAAATCTTAATAAAATTAATATCATTATCGTATAAAATCATCTAAAGTCTCCTAGCCTATTCATGAAAGAGGATGACAAAAGTAGTTCTATCTCAAATAGCACGATCAATAACGAGCAAATACGCTTCGGGAACTTTCCTCATTATTCGGCGTCACATTGGTGCATTAATAATGTTGCCAGCATTTTTTTCTAGTTTTACCCATTAATATTTATAATTACGAAGGGGACATACTAAAGATATTACAAAATATACATCCCACCAAAAACATTTTCTTGTAAAATGTTGCTAAGACAAGACCATATGGTTCGCACTACTAAAAAAATATCAGATCTCATATAGAGCTAAGCTTCTAACTCAACACGCCATAACCCTACAAGCCCTAACTTCACAAACTCTACACCTTATTCACAGTATGTGGCTTGGCCGTTTCGCTACCGTTACATGGATAATTTATTCACTGTGCAATGTACCTTACTTTTCTGATATACAATAGTTCTTGTAGTAATGATCTCTTATTAAAATAGAATAGAATATCGCACGCAAACAATTGTAAGTAGAATGCTGTATGCACCTGTAAAGGCGAAATCATACCGAATTGCATGTATATGTTACAATTATTATAGTGTCATTATGTTAAGTCGATGGTGTATCTTTCTAATAAATAAATATAAATTCATCAAAGATGTTATTGATGTCGATAAAATAATCGCGTCTTAACTTATATTTAAAATTTGATTTAATAACAAATTATTACATAATTATTCATTTACTTAGGTAATTTTATAACGTTACAGTAAGTATACATTTTTAGGATCTATCTAATATGATCTATCTATTAATGTAATGTTAAAACTACTAGAAATACATGCTATACACTGATTAAAAAAAACCTAGATTTTAAGTTTTACTAATTAAAAAAAAAAGTAAAAATAGTAAATTTGACGACTTTTGATGTATTTCGACTACAATATAATATTTCTATTATTTATATTATTTTTATGTACATTTATATTATTGGCATATCTATCTTGAATTGTAGTTGGGGGTAAATATATTATTAAAAACCCAAAATCCTAAATATAAGTTGCAATAGTTTACGTATCCTTAACCTGTATAATACTTTTTCAAATACGCAAATACTATAGTTTGAAAGATTTTTAGGTCATTATGCCCCAATATTAAATTTTTATCAAACTGTAATTCATATTCCAACTATTGTGGCAGTTTCTTTTTCACTTACAACACTAATAGTATGGACCCCACCTTAGCGTAATTTCTCGAACATTCGACGTTCATTGGTGGATAAATAACCGCATTCTTCCTTTCTCTTTCGCACTTATACAACACCTGCTAGTTTTGATATATCTTTGTACTGCTCATTTTATTGAAAGCCTTCTATTGGTTGGACCAAATGACATGACTAGAATGTTCTACCCTTGCTCAACTGTGATTGGTAGATAAAGATTGTTTCGAGAATTTTCTTGAACATGATTCGTTAGCTCGTTTTGAGTATATAAACAGCCGGTAAGCGCGGCAACACAAGCATTATTTGAAAAGACAAAGCGAAGATAACAAGTGAACTCGGTGGAAGCACCAAGCGAATTTTACTTAACAATTTGTGTGTGAATCATATTGTGAACTATACGTGGAAAAATATTTATTAACAATCGACATGCCTGCAATTGGAATTGATTTGGGTACTACATACTCGTGTGTTGGAGTTTGGCAACATGGAAACGTGGAAATCATCGCTAACGATCAGGGCAATCGAACTACTCCCTCATATGTCGCCTTCACGGACACTGAGCGACTCATCGGCGATGCAGCGAAGAACCAGGTCGCTCTCAACCCCAACAACACAGTGTTCGATGCAAAGCGACTGATCGGCCGTAAATACGATGACCCGAAGATTCAACAGGACATGCAACACTGGCCCTTCAAGGTCATCAATGACTGTGGAAAGCCGAAAATTCAAGTTGAGTTCAAAGGCGAAGCGAAACGTTTCGCTCCAGAAGAGATCAGCAGCATGGTTTTGACCAAAATGAAGGAGACTGCGGAGGCCTACTTGGGGTCGCAAGTCCGCGATGCAGTCATCACTGTGCCCGCCTACTTCAACGACTCCCAACGCCAGGCTACTAAAGACGCCGGTGCGATTGCTGGCCTCAATGTTTTACGAATCATCAATGAACCCACTGCCGCCGCATTGGCCTATGGTCTCGATAAAAATCTCAAAGGGGAACGTAACGTGTTGATATTCGATCTCGGCGGCGGCACATTCGACGTCTCTATTTTGACAATCGACGAGGGCTCTTTATTCGAAGTAAAAGCAACTGCCGGTGACACGCATCTTGGAGGAGAGGACTTCGACAATAGGCTTGTCAATCACCTGGCGGAAGAGTTTAAGCGCAAATACAAAAAGGATATCCGCGGTAACTCACGAGCGCTCCGTCGCCTACGTACTGCAGCCGAACGAGCTAAGCGCACGTTGTCATCGAGCACCGAAGCTACCATAGAGATCGATGCACTGTATGAAGGAATCGACTTCTATACTAGGGTGTCGAGGGCGCGGTTCGAAGAATTAAACGCTGATCTGTTCCGTGGAACTCTGGAGCCGGTGGAGAAAGCACTGAAAGACGCCAAACTAGACAAAAGCGCGATCCACGACGTTGTACTCGTCGGAGGTTCCACTCGAATTCCGAAAATACAGAGTATGCTTCAGAACTTCTTCTGCGGCAAGAAACTAAATCTCTCGATAAATCCAGATGAGGCGGTCGCTTACGGGGCCGCGGTACAAGCTGCTATATTGAGTGGCGAACAACATAGCAAAATTCAGGACGTCCTACTAGTGGACGTTGCGCCATTGTCCCTCGGTATCGAAACAGCTGGAGGCGTGATGACGAAGATCATCGAGAGAAACGCTAAGATCCCTTGCAAGCAATCGCAGACTTTCACTACATACTCGGACAACCAGCCGGCCGTAACCATCCAGGTGTACGAGGGCGAGCGGGCCATGACGAAAGACAATAATTTACTCGGCCGCTTCGATCTCACCGGCATCCCACCTGCTCTCCGTGGAGTTCCCAAAATCGATGTCACGTTCGATCTCGACGCTAACGGTATCCTGAACGTTTCTGCCAAAGAGAACAGCACGGGCCGCAGCAAAAACATCGTTATTAAAAACGACAAAGGAAGATTGTCCCAGGCGGAGATCGATCGCATGCTAGTGGAGGCGGAGCGGTACAAGGAAGAAGATAACCGCCAAAGAGAACGAGTGTCTGCGCGAAATCAACTAGAATCGTACGTGTTCAGCGTCAAGCAGGCGCTGGACGAGGCCGGCGAGAAGCTGAGCGAGCAAGATAAAGACGTGGCTCGAAAAGAATGCGACGACGCTCTCAAGTGGCTCGACAACAACACCTTGGCTGAAAAAGAAGAATACGAACACAGACTGAAAGAAGTGCAACGCGTTTGCTCGCCCGTAATGAGCAAGATGCACGGCGCGGGAGCGACGCGCGATGGCCCCCAGCATCGCGGTGCGCATACTGGCCCCACGGTGGAGGAAGTGGACTAAATGCGTTTCTAACAATATGTAAATAATGTGATCTCGATGACAGACTCAAATTAACTAGTCCATTATGTCAATAAGTTGTAAATACTTAGCATTTAAGATAATTTATTATTATGTTAAGCATTCCGAATCCAACAGATGATCTTAAATTAATAAAAATAAAACAGTTTTTAAATATTAATGAAATGGTTTTATTTATCCATATTTATATATTTTTTGTCCGAAATTCCTACAAAACTACCAATGTTGAATGTTGATAGACGGTGTTTAGTAGATGTATACAAATATAGTATACAAGCGAATCACCCTCGCTTCGCTCGGGTTCGTCCCTAGCTTAATTCCCCATACAAACTTTTATCCCCATTTTTATCCCCTTAAGGGATGATTTCCGGGATAAAAAGTATCCTATATCCTTCCCAGGGTCCCAAACTATCTTCTTACCAAATTTAATCGAAATTGGTTCAGTAGATCCAGAGATTATCCCCTACAACGTCAGAAACTCACAAACTTTACCTCTTTATAATATTAAGTATAGATGTATACTATATATACTATATTTGTAAATAGTATACAGTATAAACAAAAAAGTTTATTCTCAGTTCATTGCCACCAGCTGAGTCAACCAACAATTACCAGTTCTCTAGACTGAATTTGATACTTGATCGTTAAGTTGGAGTTTCTATTTAAACTTAACTTTATATTTTAATTTGCACAAAACTAGAAATAATATCAATATAAAACGACGAATAACGTACGAAAATATTATTTTCTGTCTACTACTCTTTTTTCTCAACTCCTTCAGGTACATTTCTAAGAAATTCATTGGTAACTGTAACACCGGTGTGCCCGCGATCGTTGAGGCAGGTTAATTAAAACAAATGAAATATCCTAAAACATCCAAAAACTTACTAAAACACAATTTTAAACCTAAATTACAACTGAAAGTTTTCATTATATGTAAGCTTAGTATTTCGAGTTAGTATATAAATATAAAATTGTGTACAAAATGATGTTAGAAAGTCTATTTCTGATGTAACGGAAAAAAACTTAGAAAATATTTCATTGTCATTTTGGTAGTAAATTTAAAAACGGATGATGTTTACTTATCACGGCAATGGAAAATGGAACAAAACTTGCAGTAAGTACTCGTATAAACATGTAATTATGTCGCTGACTGCATCCTCCTGTTCCTATATAACTTTTTAGTTCGCTTTTACGCAGCTTCGCATTTATTTTTTAATTAATTTTTTTTTCAACGTACATTATTCTTCTTATTATAAGCAGCGAAGCATAATAAGGATTGAGCATCAACAATTTTATATTCCGAGGGGTTTTTTTTAATTCGATCTTACTTCATTTTTTATTTTTGCAATATTTTTTTTAGTGTGTGCTATATACGCAAAAACAAAAAAAAAAACATTTTATGCTTGAAATATTTTCTAATTAGTTTTGTTACATTTACTGTAAGAACTTAATAAGTTTTATTTTTCCCGATCTTTTTTTTTTAAATAAATTAATAGGAAAAAATATTTTTATAAGCAAGCTTTTATTTTAATGCGCTAAAAAGAAAAAAAATAGACCTTGAAATAAATATTACAAACCCATAATTTTGTTACATTATACCTTTGATCAACAATACTGATCGAAGCATTATATTCATATTTACTTATCAAAGTACACATTCAATAGATGAAAATTTTAGAAGAGACAATGTAAAGGCAAAGGTACTTATACTACTAGTATAGTAGGTATTATGTAACTGGTTCCCGAGGTATAGATTTGTTTTTGTCTAGTGACGAACCTAAAGCGAAGCGAGGGTGAGTCGCTAGTTTTAAATAAAATGAAAAAAAAAAACTCCTTCCACGCTTTATGAGCTTTAGCCTTTAGAATATACTGAGGGCCATAGTAATAGCGACATCTAGCGGGAGAAAAGGCAAAAATTCTTCTCCATAGCGCGAAACTAATTCTATCAGGACTTTTTCAAATAGTTAATAATAACTAAATAGATAAAATATAGACCTTTTCTCTCACATTACTATTATAATGTCACGTAGAATGAAGAAGACACGAAATTATTTCATAATCTTTAACTAAAAAAAATCTTTTTATTCAAAAAGTCGCCATACCGAATATTTTACTGTCAAATGTCAATGTCATAATCATAAGCATTTGGCAATCGTCGTTTGCTTTTGCCACTTGCCAGGTGTCTGTCAACTGTCAGACGTTTTATTTGTCATCCATGGTCAGACGGTCGCTGGTTCTTGACGTTAAATGATAGACAAACTGGCACATAATTCAAGTTTCAAAGCTCAATTACAATATAGCGCAATAACCTTTTACTACTAAATAAGTGTTAAAAGTGCTACATGTGATTAAAATATAATGTGCTTACGATAAACAGCAATATTGAAATAGTGTTGTTAAGTTTTAATTCAAATTACATTTATAATGGCTCCAAATTTTAGCAAAATTACGTCAAGGACAGATGTAAGGCTTGGATTAGCTGCTTCTGCAGCGATAGGTGCATGGATATTTAGAAATTCATTTAATTCAAGGTACGGTAACTTCAAAAAAATCCTTGCTTTTTATGGTTCCTAAATAATACTAATCAATGGAACATCTATACTTGTATTCTATTATTTTAAAGAGCCAGAATTTTTTTTGTTTGTTTGAACGCGTTATGATATAACTAGCGACTTACCTCGCTTCACTTGGGTTCGTCCCTACTAGAGACTCCCTAGGTACGTTTTAACGTTTATTATGGAATAGATATACTATATATATTATATATACCCTATAGCCTTTCTTAATAAACACGCCCTCTAAAGCAAAAATAATTTTTCAAATCACATTAGTAGCTCCTGAGATTAGTGTTCAAACAAACAAACTCTGCCCCTTTATAATATTAGTATAGATTTTGATGTATATATATCTCATTAGATTTTAAAGTTTTCATAAAATAATAAAAAAGTCAAATAAAGTCGTATTTCATAATAATATGAGGATTATTTCATGATTGTAGAAATCATACACATTACTTTCTTACTTGTATCATTTTATGATTTACTGCTGCATATTATATGCACTAATTATAATTTGTTAACTATTATCAACTATTTGTATTAAAAATGGGTAAAATATTTTTTATTTTTCAGCTCAACAAAATGTGTGAAATCAGGACATTTATCACCCGAAGATAGGGTGCAATATATGATAAAGGATAAAAATAAAAAGGGTCCTAAAGCACAAGTAGATGCACAATTTTTTGCTGAATTAAAAATATTATGGTCTATTATGTTTCCTGGACTATGGAGCAAAGAAAGTGGATTCATGGCTTTAATAGCTTTATCACTTATAGCAAGAACATTATGTGATCTGTGGCTTATACAACATACAACTTTAATTGAAGGGTAAGTCTTATGCATTCTAATTTTCTAATATATTTTTCAAAAATTTCATTATTCTTATTTAATTTATTTCATGACTATTTTTAATAGTATGTGCTAAACTTTTGTTTCTGTTTAGTAAGTGTTGTATAATGTTAAAGTTATTTTACAAGTAATTACAAATGTACATGTACACAACAAATTTATATTAAGTAACCAATAAAAATGTTTATCATGTTGTTTATCCTATAATAGAAAATATTTGATTGCGATATAGAAAAGCTAAAATAAGTTTAAAAAGTTGCTAATTATTGACATTTATAGATGCCAAGTTCTAAGCAAATTATAAAAACTATTTTTCTTCATAATAGTAGCAACTTCAAGAAATTATTGCTAATTAAAAATATAATCCAAATGTACAAGTATAATATTAATAAGAAATATTGCTACTAATAGTAACAGTGAGTTACAAAGTTTTAAATACTTTATTTTGTATATTATACAAGGAACTGTATGGTAACTACTATACTTTAAATTGGTAATGAAAGTTGGTTCGGGTTCACAAAGGCAGCTATTGTATGCTAATGATATAGCACTTAAATTATTCCTTATTATAGGTAAATGTTTTTATGCATTTTTTTCAAAAAAATGCAAGTACTAGATAAGTAACATTGGAAATATGTTATACAAATGCTATCAGTATCTATATAGTAATAACCCCAATTTTATATAAAAATAAGCCCAGAATAATAGTCTAGCATTGATTTTTTGTTGGCTAAAAAATTAAAAAAATTGACATTATTGAGCAAGAATCTTGTAGGAAAATTTGTATAGTTTTTATTTAGTGTGTTATATATATTAATATTATGTTGTGTAAAAAAGTTTTACATCAATTTTGTAATAATAGTAATTCAGAGGGCTGCCCTCGCCCTTGATGTACTTAATTCTTATTAACATGGCTACATGCCTATTAATTTTATTATAGGGATCTTATATCATGCGAAAATAGTAATTTTTCGTCAACATATTCTTAATTTTTCTGGTTTTCATCAACAACTACTCAGTTTGGGCTGAGTAGTCGTTGCCCGTTGGTTTATAGCTCAAAAGATTTTCTTTGCATGCACAACAAGAAAATTGGTAAATACTTATAAAAAATAGATGACCAAATGTGTAAATATATTCAAATTTAATTTTATCTCTAAAACTAGGCCTAGTAGGCCTAATAAATTTAAATTGAATTTTTTTTAATAGTAATAATAGTAGTAATAGTAATTTTGTAATAGTTTACAGGAAAACTCCTAATTTGCGCCAATCAATAAACATCAAGTGTGTTCACTAATATTCTAATGTGAAAGTAAATTTAAACAGATTTAACAAACGTTACTTCCGACGAATTTCCGATGCTAATGATTGATTTAAATTTCAAATAAATTATTTATTAGGGCACAATACTACAAGAAAGAAATGTTTTATTTTATTTGTTTGCCACGTTTTTTTGTAATAAATATTGATTTTGTTGTTGTTTGGTGCAGAAATTTTAAAGATTTTTTTCTCTCAAGAATAACTGCACGACTAATTCTTTTTACGCGTATTTGCCTTATTTTATATATTATTATCGCATCTAAAGGCGTAAGGATAATCGTTAATTAAAACCATTTCATTTTAAAAGTCATGCTCGTACTGTTTTATTATTTAAATTATCCTTTATAAATATAATTAAAGTGTAAGGTTGCGGCTTTACTAAAGTAAAATACTAATTTAATATACAATCAAACTTAAAATCCTATTTCATCTTATTTTATTTACTATTAATAATATACATGTATTATGAATCTGTTCTACACTTTAAGAGAACTAAGTGCACCTTGAAATAAACGCAGATATGTAGATACCTAAGCTATTTGAAAAATATATCATCCGACTTAAGTATATAAAAATGACCTCAGCTTCAGAATAAAAGTATTTACATTTTATCTTATACATTACATATGTATACATTCATTAGGTACGTATATGTTCTGTATAAACTGAATAAATTACAGCGTAGACATAAAAAAAAGGTTTTTTTTATCGAAGGCTTTTATTTACTAAAACATAAACATTTTAATTTACTACCCGTTAAGAATAGGTACTGAAGTTGTATACACTTTAAACTTTTACATTTATTTTACTTTATTTCAGTATTTAAACATCAAATTCAATTATATTTAATACAAATGCAAATGCTAAATAATAAGACTTTACAACTGAATGATTTCCTACATAAGTAAGTATAGCAAAAAGTAGCTGAATACATAATCTTTTTACTTAAATCCATGATATTAAGTATATTTTTTAATAATAAAATAATTATATTTACTTGTATATAACACTTCTATTTTGATTTAAGCTAAAGGTGGTACTTGTTTTGTATTATTTTGGCTCATAGTGAATTGATTTTCATAATTATTTTTTCAATGAATAGTTCCTCACGAAAGTACCATATAAATTTCAAATATTCCATCCAAATTTTAATCATAGAAAAATACTTTTATGGGATTTTGTGGTTGGTATACCTTTTTAAGTACCTACTGATTCAAACATTTCATAATTTAAGTATGAATAACTAAATTTTCCTGCAGGGAAGTTTAACTAAAAAGTAGGTGGATAAACTAAATTTTCCCTAGGAACTTCCCAGTGGGTACTAAGAATGAATAATATTGATTTATTTCCTTAATTTTAAAACATATTTTATTTAAGTTTTTCTTTGATAACTTGTACATATTTTGTTCATTGATGTTTATGGGACATTATTTTTATGTATCTTTAATGGTTTGATCAGCGTTAGCCATGTAATCGTACAAAACCAGTTTTTTTTGACAAAACACTGTTTAGGCTCATTTATTTTGTACAAATTATATACACAAACCTTCCTCGTTTATCGCTCTTTCTATTAGTTAAAATGTTTATCTATGTGTTACGTGGTTTATAAGAAGTAAGCGGAGAAACGGGCACATGCAAACAGCGACTTTGTTTTATACTATGTACTAGCAAAAATGAACTATGAAAAACAAAACTATCCCACGGGAACTGTACATTTTTCCGGGATAAAAAGTAGCCTATGTGTTATTCCAGACTATAATCTATCTCTTTGCCTTTCATCCAGATCCGTTCAGCCGTTCTGGCGTGAAAGAGTAACAAACATCCATACATCCATACTCACAAACTTTCACATTTATAATATTAGTATATCTATCTAGATTCGGTAATTCAAATCTATCAAAACTTGACTATATCTTTTTCTGTATAAATAAATAGTCTGAAATAATAATTCATCTCAGTTTTTATTTAACTTAACGAAATTGACTATTGCCATTTATGACGAGACACCACATTTATAATATTACTCTTAATATGGATATGGATGTATGTATATTTTACTAGGAGTGTAAATTAAAAGTTGCTTGTTCGACCACTTTTCAATGAATCCTTTTCAACCGACTTCCAAAAAGGAGGAGGTTCTCATTTTGTCGAAATCTTTTTTTTTATGTATGTTCACCGATTACTCGAATACGCCTGAACCAATTTGGAAAATTCCTTTATGTATATAAGGCTATACTTCCCAGGTGATCAGATTTAAATTTTATCGAAATCGGTCAAGTGGTTTTTAAAAAAAAATACAGTCGAATTGAGAACCTCCTCCTTTTTAAAGTCGGTTGAAAATCAACAATAAATTATTTTTAAATAAATACTTAATCGAATATGTCATTGAAAACTTTCTTCTTACAAATTACCTGCTTATTATGTCTAAGTACACTAAAAATGGAAAAATAAAAATTTAAAACAATAAAACAAAAATTATATTATAGATAATTTTAATTATATTATAGATATTTTCGAAGTCGGTGCCAGCCGATACAAGTCAAAGCACATCGACTTCGAAAATATATGATTAGGTATCTTATTCTAAATGAAAACCCCTGTTTAGTTATTTTTTACTTTTTAGTGTCTGGAAGTCGGTTTTTATTTTATTTTTTTAAGTTTTTATAAGCACAGTATAGCACTAACTTTGATTAGATTCATAGCTGTCCAAAATCGTATCTTCGTAGTATGAATCAAACTTTGGTATTATCTATTTACTCAAGTTAGAAACGTATACAACTCAAATTCTATACGGGTTTATTTGAGTTTGACGATGTGTGTTTTTAACATTTAAATATCGTGTATGATATAATATCACCAGCTGACCCGGCAAACGTTGTTCTGCCATACATAATTTATATGATCAAAGAAATCTAACGTAGGATACATAAATGCTAAAAACATGATTAAAAAATGGGGAGTGGTGGTAGGAGGTTGAAAAATACTTTACGACCTATTCTCATACCTACCAAATATACAAAAATAACATTAAAATCGGTCGAGCCGTTTCGAAGGATTGCGACCACAAACACCGTGACACGAGATATTTATATAATATCATATTTTAAATCAAAGACCGGTTGTCTTACATACGGTTAGTGAAACAGCTATTAGCTCATGATGTAACGGATAGGTTATGCGCACACGGAACGAGTGTGTGGAGACTGTGTTGATTATTATTGATCATAATATTTTTGCAGACTTCGTACGGAGATTTTATGAGGAAAAAATGTATTGTACTGGCACGCTTTGAAGTTATTAACAAAAGAATTAAATTGATTAAAAATATATTTGTAATTTTGTATTGTCAATAATATTGCATGTGTATAGCTAGTTTAATCTCATACAACATTACTAAAAAAAATCGACAAAATTATAGTTATAAAAGTAAAAGTTAGCGAAAAAGTGAAACTTGTTATTAACTCGCGTTCTGAATGTTATTTATAACTTACCTATATTTACGAATAAAAGAAATTTAGAAAGTACTTTTATATATTTTAGCATTGCCCGCGCCTCGGCCCGCGTTCAGATGACCAAAAAGCAAATTTTTAGGTTTTACAGATTAGTATACAAGAACATTGCAGTTTTTCTCAGAAATGAGACATTTTTCCGCGGTAAAAAGTATCTTATATGTTGACCCGGATAACCAGCTATCACCATACCAAATTTAATCAAAATCCCTCTAGTAGTTTTTCTGTGATGCGGTAACAGACAGACAGACAAAAATTCTAAAAACTAGATTCGGCCTCTGTATCGATAATAATGTTTATTTCAATAAGATTTTCCAAAAAATATTTAATGTACAGATTCGGCTTAGTTACAATTTTATTATATGTATAGATTTGTCAGACAATAACAACGGTTACCATGGCAAACAACGGTTACCATGGCAACATGGCAATGTATTCTATCTAATTCTTTCGCCGGCTTAATCCTATATATTTATGTGTTTGTCTCTTTTTAGTGTCGCATTTTCGTTTCATCGAGTTTCAAATCACAATGATTTTAAAGAAGTTTTGCTTCAAAAAACTTATTGATAGGTTTACATTTTTACATTAAATCGCAGCAAGTTTGGTTTTAATTAAAAATTTATAAAATTTTAAAACTTTAACGTTTCGAATGCTTTACAGCAATCATGGTCACGGGAGAGACTAAGGTTATAGATGTCTCAAAGGCGGTAAATACTTGTTACAGACAGTGCCTACCCACTATTTTTCAAAAAATTCAAAAGTGTCATCAATAAAAAAAATCTCTAGTAATAGCGAACACATATAAACTATACATAAAAATCTAACTCCCAGCATTTTCGTTACGCAGGTTTTTTGCGGGCTAGGGTACCCCTACGCATCGTCCCATAGGGAACTTCGTTCCAATATAATATTTTAGGATAAATAAACCTTTAAAAATTCTTGGTCTAATCTGGCAATCTTAGGATTTTAAAAGCGCATATTTAGTAATCGCTAACATGCTATGTTTTATACGTAATAGATTTTACGAAAGCAAAACTGTAAGTATTTTTTTTCATATACTGGGATCCTGACTCTGAAAGCTGAAAGTTTAGCAAAAACAAACGATCTGTAAAAAGTTAAAAAGGTTAGCGAAAAACTCCATTGCTGCAAAAAGCAGTAAAAATATCGATAAAATTACAAACAAGTTAATAAAAGGCTAATGAGAGGTTAATAAGAGGTATTTATGAGTAATAAAACGTAGTACAGATTAAATAGGAAGGGACTAGTGATTGAACAATGATCAATGATGATAACGTCTACGTAATATTACATCTCGCATTCAAGTGAAACTCACTAAGTTCATTTATATTATAAACTATTTTCTTATTATATGCCATGTAATGCTTACGTCGCGGGATCGATTTTATTACCCCACAAATGGACTTTGGTTAGCAAGCTATTATATAGATAATAGTGGTTTATCTTATAAACATGTAGGTTTAAAATATTTCTATTTATTTGTTCAAACCGAAGTCCAAACCTCTTTTCAATAATATGCCCGCCTGTTTTTGTCCCGGAAAAAATATTAAATTTATAACTTTCATAAGATGATGTAATAGATAAAAACTTTTTAACAAAAAAATAAAAACCGACTTCAAAAAAAAGCACTAAAAAGTAAAAAATAACTGATTGGTAGTTTTCATTTACTATACATACCTAATCAAATATTTTCGAAGTCGGTGTGCTTTGATTTGTATTGGCTGGCACCGATTTCGAAAATATTTTTTAGGTATGTATTTAATAGGTAGGCTTTAATTACTTAGCCAAAGCACACCGACTTCGAAAATATTTGATTAGGTATGTATAGTAAATGAAAACTACCAATCAGTTATTTTTTACTTTTTAGTGCTTTTTTTTGAAGTCGGTTTTTATTTTTTTGTTAAAAAGTTTTTATTTTTCCCTTTTTAGTGTAGTGTAGTTAGTAGTAGCAAAGTAAGGATTCTAACGTGTTAGGCTTGTCAAATCAAACAAAATAAGCCCAAACTCAAAGTATCTACTATTAGCCGTTGAAGAGTTCCACCTATCCACCTTCTGGCCTTGCCATCAGATCAGGTCAACAACACCGAACCACTGTACTATCAACGGAAATAGAAATACTTGCAAAGTTTCAAGTCAATATGACAATTAGAAGTAGGTTAAATTCATCATTAGTGGTTTTTCCACCCTTAGGGGTGGTTTTTTTTTTTGAAATTTAAATGGGACCAATCTGGAAGTATACCCTTTCCAACAAAACAAAAATTGTCAAAATCGGTTAATAAATGACGGAGTTCTGAGGTAACAAACATAAAAAAAAAAAAAAACATACAGGCGAATTGAGAACCTCCTCCTTTTTGAAGTCGGTTGAAAACTGGTAGAAAGTACTTCCACTACTAAGAATCTAAAAGAATATAAAACAATTTAATTGTACTGGTTGCAATCTGCTCAAATATTGTTTTATTTTGTGCCACTTAAATTTTGAGAGACAGCATTATTTAATTAGAATATGGAAAAAAAATTGGTAGAATTTCAAGACCATAAGGTCTTGAACTTGGTAGGTGAAACAAAAAACAAACAAGTCAAAATTCCTTTGTCAATAATGACTAAGTAATTTTGACTTGTTTGTTTTTTGTTTATTCATGTGGTCTTTTAATAGCTTGATAACTAAGATAAAATGACTAAAAAATTATCATTATTTGCATTTAAAAACGATAAATGGTTACTAAAATAAATTTTTGTTATTATCGCTTTATTTAACACTTATATAATGAAAATAAACGACACTAACCTTTAGGTACTAACAAGGTTCAACTAATAGATACGTACTTGATTCATATATTATAAAATTATATAACAGTATATTATGTATGATAAGTAGTTATTATAAGACTTGAGTCTATTAAAACAATGAAATAAATTTTCTTGCTATCCTACAATTACTTTTATATATTATCAAACGTTCGAAATATAAGAAGCATGGTATACATACATATATAATAATAAATAATAATAAATGGACATGTTTGTATCTATTTCTTTTATAAAGTCTGAGGTTATTGCTTAATATACATAATATATAAAGCACCAATATTATAAACCAGGAATTGTATTAAATAACATAAGTTTGCATAATTTTGCCCGCGGCTTCGCTCTGTATTTTCTTTGTATAATTGCTCCGTGAGTCCGTTCTTAATAATAGTAGTGATGTTAATTAACATTCATTAATGAATAATGTTTCACAATAAGACGGGCAGTTTTGAGATAAATGTGTCCAAACAAACTTTTTAATATAGTTATCCTAATCAATACTAATATACTAATATAATTATAAAGAGGTAAAGTTTGTAAGTTATTAGTTTGTGACGTTGTAGGGGGTAATCTCTGGATTTATTGAACCGATTTAGATGAAATTTGGTAAAAGATAGTTTGAAGCCCTGGGAAGGACATAGGATACTTTTTATCCCGGAAATCATCCCTTACGGGTTGAAAATGGGGATGAAAGTTTGTACGGGGAATCAAATAAATACATCTATAATGTATATGATATATGTATATCTTTGTTTCAGTTTTGTATGAAGTATTAATGATTTGCTTTTTTGTTTCAGTTCCATTGTCGCAATGAACAACAAAGAGTTCAAGCGGTTGCTACTTCAGTTCTTTTCATACATGCCAATAGTACGTTTACAGATTATTCATCATATTCTGTTATTTTTTGTATATATTATATAATATTGTACAGTATATGCATGTATAGTGTATACGCATCTGATTTATCAACGTTTTATTTTGCAGATATCTTTAGTAAACAATGTTTTAAAGTGGAGCATTGGAGAGGTGAAATTGAGATTAAGGACTAATCTTTCAGTGCACTTATATCAGCAATATCTAAAGTAAGCTTTTATTACGTAATTAACTTTAATATTTCGTTGTTAAAAATGTTATTATTCATTTATGAAGTTAATAAAACATCATATGACGTCACGTCGTCAAGTCACGTCATTTGTAAAAGAGCTGAAAATTTTTGGATACCATGTAATTGATTATATCAGAATGCGTGCATGTGATATCTGTAACGATAATTTAATGTTCTTACATTAAACATTAACATCTGATCTAGATTATCCTCTCTTGAGGTTAATCTAGATCAGTGCGTAATAATTAATATGTCGAATGAGAATTACTTTGCTTTTTTAAATCGGATAATTATAGCAAATTTTTGTAGAATTTGTTGTATGTTTAAAAACATCCTTTTAGTTTATTAAAATTTGATTCTATTTACAGAGGTTTCACATACTACCAAGTCACCAATTTGGATAATCGAATATCAAACGCTGATCAGCTCTTGACGACAGATATAGATAAATTTTGCGATACTGTAATAGACCTCTACAGCAACATAAGTAAACCTATTCTGGATATATCTATATATTTATATAGGTTGACCGTTAATTTGGGACCCTCTGTAAGTGCTGTACATGTCTTTATTTCTTACAAACTAATTTGTCAGAGGTTGTTATGACCTTTCAATTTTTTTGTGATCTTTAAGTCTTTATAGAAATTCTATAAAAATAGCACTTACATTTTTTCCGATTTAACCCAATAATTCGGACATTTTTTTTTAATTCATGTAATCGACAGTTGGTAAAGAACAACCGTTTTATTCTTCATAGCAGATCTTATGAATCGGCGTACCAAGTTTTACTGTATATGATAATCGTATAATTTGAGATTCCGGATCTTATTCTCTTACGGTTGTTGTCAATTATCTATTTAGAATTTCCCTCACTACCGATACGAATTTGACATAATTCATATGGGGTTAAACTAGTCAAATTTCTATCTCTACAAAGGAAGATTTCAGATAGATCGGTTAAAAGGAACTGGCGTTAGTATTCTCTCTCTAAACGGATGTAAAACCGGTAATTAAACAATTATTCACTTATAATTAGAAATTTCTCACGGTTACAGACTTTTATTTCAAAAGTTTTTCAAAATGATCTTGAATTTTATAAGGGGACTTTAATACCTGCTACATACTCGTAGAATGCTGTAAACTATTCATAGAAAGGAATTATTGAAATGGGCTTACAATTATACGAGTCATACACAAAAAAAAACAAACGCCCGAACATGAAGTTATAATTTGTATAGCTGTAAATGTTAATACGTTTATTGAACTCGCCGCCATTTTATTTAATTCTAATGCATTTCAAGTTCTCATTTCATAAACATTAATATATTTTAGTAGATTTCAGTTTGCTCACACAATACACATGTTGTTAAATACTTGGAAAATGATAATATATTTAATGTATAGATTAACTTAAACTTACATCTAACATCTCTAATGTTGCTTAAAGTTATTTTTTTACTCAATGTAAGTTGTGTACTCATCTATTTTTGTTTTCAGACACCGGGATTGATGATGGCTTATCTTTTCTTTTCTGGCATTTTCTTGACGTACCTCAGGAAACCTACCGGTAATTTAAATATTTCATAGTCATTTACAATAACATACACAGAAACTGGGCTGTGGTAGCACAGTGGTAACGCGCTCACTTGGGAAACCGAGTGAAGCGAGTTCAAATCCCGGGTCTCGCAAGTCTGATATTTTCATGTGCGAATTATTTCCAACATGATTACCACTTGTCTTGACGATGCGGACACGGAAAATCTAAATGTAAATCAATATCTACTACGATCTCATGAAGAGTCAGGGACACTAGCCATGGGATTTTACCTGTCTTATTTAAATAGATTTTTTGAACATTTTCTAATTATATACCTATTCAGATATTATAAGGCTTTGGGTATAATTGTGAAAATTTTGAATAATTTTCATCAATTTACGTAAACGCAGCAATGGAAAGGTGCGGGCTAATGTCTTATAAATGCAAATAACAACGTAGTTAATATAATATTAATATATTTGTATAATTTATACTCATATTTGGCGTAGTGTATACAAAAACTAAATATTCGTACATATGTTTTATAACCAAATAATAATATTCTTTTTTTTTGCTTCTAGTAATTATACAACATTATGATAAATTAAGTTTTGAAAAGTAAAAATTACGTTATTATAATTCAAGGAAACATAGATTAATAAATTAGATTTAAAAATTATATTCATATCTAGGTTTTTTGTATGATTTCGCAAATTATATATTATTACATGTACTCTACAGCACGAATGACCGTCCAAGAACAGAAATTAGAAGGAGAATACAGATATGTTAATTCACGGCTCATAACTAACTCTGAAGAGATTGCTTTTTACCAAGTAAGTTTGTCTTGATGTATGATATTCCCTAGTTTCATTGTGTTTAAATGGTTATACTATAGCATATTTTAAATGTATGTAAATTTTGACGCTTTAATATATTTTATTTCTTCAAGTCTGAATCAATTACAGAATAATGAAGAAGTTTTTTATACAAACTGTAACATTCCTTTGTGTAGTATCCAAATTAAATGAATAACACGGAGGTCACTAGCAGCTATTTACTTGTTTTCAATTTTGCTAATTGTATTTAAATGGAAATTAAATTACATAGTGAACATTAGTCCACTTATTTCTAACTAATGAATCACCCTTGCTTCGGGTTCGTCACTGGACAAAAAGAAATCTATACACGAGAACCGTACATTTTTTCGGAATAAAGAGTAACCTATGTGTTAGTCCAGACTATAATCTATCTCTGTGCCAAATTTCATCTAGATCCGTTCAGTCGTTCTGGCGTGAAAGAGTAACAAACGTTTATCCATCCATCCTCACAAACTTTATCTTTGATAATATTAGTATGGATAGGAATATCGATTTTTAATTTCGTATGTGGAATTCTAATGCCAATGTCAGCTCTAAGAGCTGACCTGACAATAGAAACAAGAGATGGATTAGAACTCTAAACTAAAACATAAACAGCTAAATTAAAACTCTTCAATAGATACTTGCAAAAGGAAGCCGGTAAAGGCTTATTAGTTTTAGGGTTCCATAGCTAAAACGGACTAAAATAATTTCGTCACATTTGTCTGTCCGTATGTCACAGCCGTTTTACTCGAAGAATAATAATAATGGGAACTACGTTATATTGCTGTTTGATAGGTAGTACATATGTGTCTCACGTCAACCACTAGATAGTTTTGTAGTCAAATAACGAAAAAAGTAAAAAAGAAGTGGTGGACTCCATACATGTAACTAGGAGTGAAAAATAATCAATTTTTAAGTTCGCATCAGCGAGTGGGATATTTCTGGATGGGAATTTTAAAATTCATATGGATGACTTTCAGACTCGCATTCGTCCGATTTTTGGTTCTTTAAAACTATGTTTATTCCCAGGGTAATCATCGCGAACAACTAACTATTCTGGCCAGTTTCTACAAGTTGACGAGACACCTGAGAAATTTCCTCAACTTCCGCGTCGCCATGGGATTCATCGACAATATTGTCGCTAAATGTAAGTGTTAATAATTAGGTATTGTTAATACATTTAGGTATATACACGTATATATATTATAAAATAATATATATATGTAATAAATATAAAAGTTGGTCATCTAGTTTGGTCATTTTATTTTTTAGTACAAATTCTATTCTATCTATACTAATATTATAAAACGGCAGATTTTGTTTGTTTGTTTGAACGCACTAACCTCAGGGATTTTTTAAATCGGATTAGTAGCGATTTGAAAAATTCTTTTTTTATTTGATAGCTCGTTTATTGAGGAAGGCTATAGGCTATATATAATATACAATATACAGTCCTATCTATTCCATACTCACCGTTAAAACGTACCTAGGGCCGAACCCGAGCGAAGCAAGAGCGAGTCGCTAGTCATATATACATACATGTACATTTATTCGTAATACAAGAATAAAAACGACATTAGTGGAGGAAACACATAAATTATTTTTTTTAACCTTTCTTTAAATACTCGATCGATAATAAAATGCTGTTGTTTTTGAATAAGTACTTTTAATATCTATAGATAATATAATCATATCATAATCTATAGATTTTAATACATTTTGAAACTAAGTTACACAATTTTATTATTTTAGTACCTACATTTAGAGATTATTTAATTAAATAATTTAATTACGTGGGGGGTGATGATGTTCTCCTGGCCGATTCCGGCCACGGCGGCCAATCTCATTGAGACTAGCCAACTGCGCAAGAGATATAGTGCAGCGCGTGTGCGCGCAGACACAACGTGCACTCTCTATTCCTGTCACTCTCATACTCCGGCGGGACGACACGAGACACTCGCGGTGAGAGTGTCGGCGCAGGACCGACGGCTTTACGTGCTCTCCGAGGCACGGGGGTGAAACACCGCCAATTTCTCAACTTCGGGCTGTTACTGAGACTTACACTATACAGGAAGACTCAATAACTAAACTTGGCCCGACCCGGGATTCGAACCCAGGACCACCGAGTGTGTAGCCGTACATACTAGCACTACACCACTGAGGCAGTAAACGTGGGGGGTAAACATAGTAGATATATTATTTATCTTGTAACTTACATTAATTATATAAATATTTTCCGTTTACGCTACCTTGCACCGGTTTTTTGTATATGCAAACTTGTTAATTACGACCTTGATTTTTCAACGAAATGCCCGTCTTTGGCGTTCTTATTCAGAGAAACTGAAACTCTTCGAAAATTTTGACTTATTGTATGCTGGAGAATAGTTATTAATATAATCCATAGCGGCCTCTCTTTTCGCAATTTTTATTATTAATTGAAATGAATCCAAAAGTTCCGAAGCAAGTTTTTAATAAAATGCGCGACGGTACTTTTTGAAGTTCATGGACTGAAATACGCAAGCGAAACAAAAAGTATATAATAATATCTCGTATATAGTGGTTGAGTTTATAGTGCACTTGGAATTTGAAAATATGTATTGGATTTCTACAAAAAAAAAACCTTTTCAAAGACTTAAAAACTAGTAAAAACCTTCTGAATTATTTATAAATATATCTTTACAACTGTATGCGAAGTCCCTTGGTGGCCCAGAAATATAACGTTAAATGAATAATTACATAAGAAACCTTAATTGGCAAACCAGCCAACGCCACAATTCGTCAAAAAATTTTTTTTGGTTCAGATTGTACACAACAGTAATTCAGTAGGATTTTACAGTATCAAAAATAGCTTCCGATATTATCTATCAATGGTATTTTAGATTTTTTAATAAATAGTGTACAAAAAATATTATAAAATTCAGTGTCTCCTGAAAAATTTGCTCATATGGAGTTAGCTGTTTTGCCAATTAAGGTATTGTTACTAGGAACATAACTACACGTCACTCCCTTCAGAAGAGTAATAAACATACACGCACATAAACAAATTTTTGTATATGCATTATACATATATATGAAATGAAATATTTTCGTCCGAGTAATAAAAATAAATGAAATATCTTGGTCCGAATATTAATAATTTTTCTTTGTAATTACAGATGTAGCCATTACAATCGGTTTCTACGCAGTATCTCGACCTTTCTTTAGGAAGGACCACAATTTGCTATCAGGAACGGAGCAAGACAGATTTAAGGTAAAGCAACATTTTAATTTATATTTTTAATCTAATATTTAAAAAAAAATTATTGTCTGGGTGAGCTAGTAAAAAAAATTGTAATATTATATTCTTGCGTGTAACACTGTTTTTTAAAGCTTTTAATTAACGTAATAATCGCTCGTCCTTTGTTTCGTTCTATTGTACTCGTATAAAATATTGTATACTTTTTATATTTAATTTGTTACTGAACACTTATTTAGTTTTTAAATATTTTTAGCACTACTACACATACGGTCGTATGTTAGTCAAAATGGCGGAAGGTATCGGCCGTTTGGTTCTCTCTGGTCGTGAGTTGAGTAAATTGGCGGGCTTGACCGCTCGGGTCACTCAGCTAAGGAACGTTCTAGAAGACATTAACAAAGGAAACTACACGCGGACAATGGTGGAAAAAAATAATATGGGAAATGGTATGTTGAAGAAAGTTTAAATTCATCCTACTTTCTCTTCACTCAAGTGGCTCAAGTCCGAATTTTCGAGTTCTGCGCTTTATTTCGTTTTCGGTTTCGACAGAAAACAGTTTTTTATTAACAAAGGTGTATCTGTTTTAAAATTACTTAAAAGAATATTCCACCCATATGACATAGACCAGGGACGTATATCTTTTAGTTATCTTGCTTATGCAAAATTGAAAATAAATTATTTTTACGTTACATCTAGAATATTATAATTATTTGGTAAAGGAGGAAATATTATTTCCTTATTATTTACTTATTCCTTAATAACATTATTTTCTTTGTCCGTGTTTTACATTTAAGTTAAATTTGAGGAAAATCAGTTATTTACCTGACCTGACACAAGGATAAATAGTATGTGGGTTTATATACTTACATAACATATGTTCCTACTGTTCTACACAATGATTGACATGCATCTTTATTTTGTATAAAATTGTAAAAGAGCCGTAAAGAATCAATATTGTTTTTCTATTTGTATTTTATTTTTTATATATATTCTTGTATTACGATAAGAATAATATTTGTATTTTATTTTATATATATATTATTGTATTACGATAAGAATAATCGAACATTAATTCCCAAGATTATCTTGTTTTTCTTGCCAGTAACTTCACCTTTCTGTTTAAATTTATTTATGAGTAAATATTGTGACTTTGCTCGTGTGACGTTTAGGTAGATCAATAAAAATTGCCTTTAAATTCGCTACCTTGTCAGTAGACATGTTGTGATAGATTCTTTAACGCTCCATTACACTGTGGTCATAGGATCTCACTGGGCTTTTTAATGAGTAAGTCTCACTATCTCTTGCCCATTGACGGCTAACGGGGACCCCATGATAGAATGATAGGTATAATATGATAAATTTTCCCCAGCCACATAAAAAAAGAAGATATACAACCTCCATTTCGAATTTCAGTACAAAGTTTGATAGTAAAGAAAAGAAAATTAACGAAATTTAACATTTACAATATACATTTAAATTGTTCCAGGACCCCCAATGCTCCTCGCGCCGGGCGCCGGACGCATCATATACCAGGATAATATCATTCGCTTTGAAAAAGTTCCGCTGGTCACTCCCAACGGGGACGTGCTCATACAAGAATTGAATTTCGAAGTCAAGTTAGTATTATTATTTTTTTTTATATAAAGTACTTGATAATCGAATTCACTATCGAGACCTGTTTAGACACTTGGTATTACATGCACCTTCAAGATACCTCAGAAAGGCTATTAATCTCCTCTCATACCGCTCCACAGATATGTTCTCCTATTCCAAGAATTTGCCATTTATATATTAGTAGCTTGGATATTTTTGACCAATCAGCGCTGGATTTACACTTGGGACACTCGGAGCCAGCCCCCCCAACGTGCGTTCACCTTGTCGTGGTGGGGGGGCTCAGTAGTGTACTCGCGAAGCCAAGAAACACACAGGGAGGTGGCCCGCTTCGGTGGGTGGTAGGAGGCGGCTTTCTTCGGAGGGCGGTGTACCATGCGGGTTGCTCCTGGTACTTCTCTGATAGCAGAGTGGACTGTGGAGCAACCCCGTGGTTGTTGTGGTCTGCTTCGGCAGACCTGCCGTCGGGGCGTCGTAGTTGAATGCGTAAGCGATCCTGCGACGCCCCATTAAGACGGGGGAAGGTTTTGTTGGGTTTTAGTGGGTAGTACTGGCTTTGCCGGTGAGTCACACACCTCGTGCGTAAATGGATTTCCCAACGTTAAAAAAAAAACTCGGAGCCAGTGCCCATGGCTGCAAATTTTTAGGGCCGGCAAAATTCGGAGGGTGGGATTTTTTTTTCTTCACCTCTTTTTTCTAATTTTCCAAAAAATGAATAATTAGAAAAAAAAATTATTACATTGTATATTTTTGGAAAATTGATATCATTTATAATTTAATTTTTTTCATTTAAAAAAAAATATAATTTTTTATTACTTTCAATATTTTATTCAAAATTTCGATACTTGTGCGGATACCTATTTTTTCCCGTAACGTCAAAATCAGTCCAGCAGTTACGGAGTTTTTTTTTTAGTTTAGGCAATTTTTATTACTTAGCTTATATGGTGCTCCAAATTATAGCGTACCTGAGTACTAAATATCACTCGTATCCACCCAACCGTTTGGAGATGCGTAGGAATGATACACACACATACTATTTCCCCATAGTACAGTAGTAGCCATTTCTGAATGTTTGTAATAAAAATGTATAATTTTTAGGTCGGGCATAAACGTGCTTGTATGCGGACCAAATGGCTGTGGAAAATCTTCGATGTTCCGTATGTTGGGAGAACTGTGGCCTATATTTGGGGGAACATTAACAAAGCCTCCGAAAGGAAAACTTTTTTATGTACCTCAAAGGCCGTATATGACACTCGGTACATTTAGAGATCAAGTAAGTCTTCTGTTTTAATTGTGAAATAATAGTTTTCTTATACATATATTCTATACACAATTTAATTTACTGGAATAATATTTACTTAACATTTGCCAGTTACAAAGATTAGTTAAAAAATAAGCCCATCAAAAAAAAAATTAAACAGAAAAAATATTATTTATAATTCCTAAGTAAAATAATTATTAATTTGATATACATATAATGCAATAAAAGATACTGAATTTTTTAAGTCAAAAAATACAACATATAAAGTTGTTATAATTAATTAAATTATGTCTTAAAATAAATTTAAATTTAGGCAAATATTTTACATTTTTAATAAATTATTTTTTTGGGTATTTCGCTTCGGCTTCTCCCATGAAAAAGATTGCATTTAAAACATTCGAAACGACGAGAATCAAAAAGCGAAACAAAACCGCAAAAGAATAATTCGAAAAAATTGTTTTATTATAAATATCATATAAAGTGGTAAAAATAAGTGTTATACAAATATAACTTGTTTTTCTAAGGTAATTTACCCTCAAACACGGGAGGAGATGTTGCGTCGCGGACGGACGGACAACGAGTTGAATAGTTTCTTAGAGATCGTGCAACTGTCGTACTTAACCAATAGAGAGGGCGGGTGGGACGCCGTCGAGGACTGGATGGACGTGCTGTCCGGAGGAGAGAAGCAGAGGATAGCTGTACGTATATGTAGTCCCACAGCTGGGCACGGGCCTCCCTTCAATACGAGTGGGATCAGGCCATACCTAACACTTTCCTTTTCTTTATTCCTAGTTTTAATTATTATCATAGGAGATAGAATTCGCTAATTTTGCAATTCAAAAAAAATATATAAATAGAATATTGCATATTCAATCCTATATAGCATAAAGAAGATTTATAATAATTTTGGTGTTACTTACACCTCCAGGTAAATTTCTAAGAAATTAATTAAATTTCTAAGAAATCTATTGTTATCTGTAACGCCGGCGTGTCCGCGGTCGTGGAGGGATTAATATTGCCACTTTCTATATCAACTACACCTAATTTGAATATAGTTTTTTATTTAACTAAAGTACTGTATTATATATATTTTTAAGTCACATATAAACGTTATACCTAATGTATATTATGTTATATTATAATACACGAGTGGTGTTACGTATGAGCGCAGATGGCGCGGCTGTTCTACCACGCGCCGCAGTTCGCGATCCTGGACGAGTGCACGAGCGCCGTCTCCGTCGACGTGGAGGGGCACATGTACCAGTACTGTCGAGAGGTCAGTGGGATCTTTACTTATAGAAATAGGGACAAATAATACTTTAAGCGATTTTTTGACATTTTAAATATAAACTATCATTTCGGTTTTTTCACATATTTATTTTGATTTTTGGTTTTCGACGTTTCGAATGCTTTACAGCAATCATATTCACCAGTCTCTCCCGTGACCATGATTGCTGTAAAGCATTCGAAACGTTGGGAACCAAAAATCAAAATAAACCCGCGAAAAAATCCGAAAAGTTAGTTAGTTTTATTTAAAAGATGCAAATAAGCGAACCACACTCCCGATGGTAAGTGGCCATCGTCGCTCATAAGCATCTGTAACTTAGTAACTTAAGAAGAGTTGCGAATGGGTTACCGGCCTTTGAAGACAAGACGAGTCCCACATTATAGCGGTGAAGGAAAACTGGAGAAAGATTATTTCAGGTGCGAGGCTGAAATTAACATGATGCACATACATTAATTGTGGGATACCGAGCATCTACAACATGTGTGATAACTTCGAACTCGACGGCGAAAAATGCGATGATAAAAACGCGACGTTGGCACCAGATCAAAAAGTTCATTAAAAAAACTCTCCATTTGACTACTTCATTTTTTGCAGTTTAAAATCCGTTTATTGATTTTTACAAAAACGCTGCCACGATTGTAAAAAATGACAATTTTCATGCATAACAGTTTACAGTTATATCCTAAAATCCTAAAGCCGATGCAAAACAAAGCAAATCTATTTCGATATGTCATATCACAAATTTATGTATAATATTTTAACTTTAATTAAAATTCATTCCTAATGATTACGTCCATTTTTCTTTTAAATAATAATATAATTTAATTTCATTTTCAGATGGGCATATCTCTATTCACGGTGTCGCATCGCAAGTCGCTATGGAAACATCACGATCATTATTTGCAAATGGACGGCCGCGGCGGATACGTCTTCGGTGAAATAGACAACGAAACTCAAGAATTTGGCTCGTGATATATAATATATAAGAAATATTTAAGAAACTGGATATCTACTAAAATTAAAAGAATAGGCCTTTTGCACCAATGGAATTACTCTTGGAAAATATCGGAACTATACCGATACGATAAGTTCGGTTATCTCCATAGCTTTGATTTGATTGTTCACAAAATATACTATAAGTCCAAAAGGCTATAATAAATTTTATTATAAGTAACTAATGTATAATATTAAGTAAATAATCAATTTATTGTTAAAATATTTAGATGATTTTTTTTATTTACGTTTCTATGGGTAACTAATTTATGGTTTAAAATTGTCGGATTGTGTGGTGTTAAAGGTACACAAGGTGATTGCTCGTATATTTTTATGCTCCATCGGTTCCAATATAACCGTTTATATGGAAATATTAGATAAGACTATTTTATGTTAGGGATGTATCGATACGCACTTCTGCCGATACGATACCGATACCGATGCGGACACTGCAGACTTCAAAAGCTATAAAAAGTAAAAAAAACTGTGGATTTAGGATGGAAACACAGAAACAAATGGCATTACATGCAGTTAGTTTTATTTATTTAGAATGTGAACTAGCGAAATTTGGAAATTGCAATTTAACAATATATCAATTATGTTTTGAACATTATAATTTAATAGAATATTATTTACTTTTTGAAAATAGTAATTAAATAAAATATCAATTTTATAATAAAGTTCAGATTAGAAATTAATATTTAAAATTCATATTTTTGAGATTTTTACTAACCGACTTCCAAAAAGGAGGAGGTTCTCAATTCATCAATTCATCGTCAATTTTTTTTTACGTATGTTCACCGATGACTCAAAGACGCCTGAACCGATTTGGATTTTTTTGTTTCAAAGTGTATACTTAACAGGTGGTCCCATATAAATGTTATCGAAATCGGTCGAGCGGTTTTTGAAAAAATCATAAATATTTTTTTTTTAAATAAAATGTTTAATCGAATATGTTATTAAAAAACTTTCTTCTTACAAATTACCTGCTTATTAAGTATACACTAAAATGGAAAAATAAAACTTTTTTAACACTAAAATGTAAAAAATAACTAAACGGAGGTTTTCATTTAGAATAGATACATAATCAGATATTTTCGAAGTCGGTGCCAGCCTACAGGCTACAATATTTTAAGATATGAATATCTAATAGGTAAATATGTATTTTACTTATCGAAGTATAGTAGAAGTATAGTATAGTAGATTTGCTTTTATAGAAAACACAAAATATTAAAACCTTATCGATGTATTAGCAAATTAATATCGCCCAAACCGATATATCGAAAAACCGACGATACCGTCCATATGTCGGTATCGGATGCATCCCTAATACAAATATAAATTATGTTTGTTCTCCTCACTCTTGAGACTCAACACATAAATAATAATTTATACTAGAACTGTTCCTACAATAACATAAAAAATCATCACAGTGTGTAGTAAAGTAGTTTTGCAACCAAAATAAAAAATATGATACTTGATAAAGTATTGCATATCAATTACTTATGACGCATTGATTAACTCTGTTTATGTATATTCAAAAAGCCATTTTTAAAAATAATGTATGCCTTATTTGACCACTTTATAGAATAAAAAATAAAAATATAATTATTATTAGCTGTATACATTTTGCTATAAACCATTTTTATGTTATCATTTTAAATATATATAATTGACATAATATTAAAAATTAACTCTAACTGTTTAGTACAAATTATAATTATTTTTATTGGGACCAGAAAAAAAAATTAAAAAAAAAATGTTTTGTCTTACAGAAAAATGTAGTATTTTCTTATTTTTCTCTTCATCCAACAATATTATACTAGTATTTAAACCAGTCTTGACGCCATTAATCTCTGTCTACTGTTAAGAATTCCTATTAACATATTATAAAATTAAAAATGGTACCTACTACCTAGTAAGTAAGAACAAACACTTTTATATTTGTAATTGTTAGTGACAATGCTAGGTCAACATAATGTATTTGCATGTCTCAGTTTACTAATAAATGAATAATAATTTTAAATATTATATTATATGAATTATCACATTTCATTATACCTAATAGTATAATTTAATAAAATTAGTTAACAATTTCCGATTCATTGTGATAACCTGTTGGTTTGAAACCATAATTTTTATACCTTTTAAAGGTACATTTTTTTTAAGTTATTTATAATTCCAATATCAATACATAATATTAATATACATACATATGAACTATTGTACTCTTATGACTAAAAGGTTTCACTATTTTTGTCCATACATGATTTATAATATGAATAATTTAAACAATTGTAAAGAAATCAATGACCAACAATTTTAATTTTATTATATTTTAAGTAAGTTTCTCTAGACAATTCAATTTTTTAATGTACATTTTTTATGTATACCTATATACCTATGTATGAAGTAGCAAGGCTAGTTACGTTATTCTACCAGTCAATAGAAATCGAATTTTATTGAGAGTCATTGTTCCATACTATGAACTTATATTATGTATGAAACAATGAACTAGAATAATTTACAGTGTAATATTTATATGCAATCATAAGTATAGTTTTGTTTAGTTATTGATAACAACTGGTTTTATCACCTTTTATGGATTTTTAAAATTCTAAGATGTTGGCTGTATTTGATGTTTTTTTTAATTCTGTGAACATCATTGTAAACTTTGCAACTTCGGTTTACTTTTAGATTAACGTTTTATTATTTAAAATCATATTATTCTAAATAACGTGTTTTTAGTAAAATATTTTTTAATTTAAAAGTTGCTGTGATAGATGTTTATGTTGTTCTAATAAAATCAGAGGTGCTGGGTCAATAAAGGTGGTTGAGGAAAACTATCGTTTTTTATTTCTAGAAATTGATTATTTTGCATGCTACGTATTTTCCATAGGACACGATTTTTAAGTACCTACATAATATACTAAATTAATAGTACCTGTTCCCAAAAAAATATTGGTGTTCAATATGTACAGTTAAAATGACATAAAAGGAAGGTAGTGAGTGAGTTAATGTTAGTGATATAATATATAGATGATGATAAATAATGTTTATAGTACAAATTCTGCTTTTCTCAATAGGAAGTGCAGAAAGAATATCTATAGTCTACACTAGTTAATGGGCATGCATGATGCTAATGAAGTATTTATCCCGTGATTATAAAATTTTACCTGAAAAGTTTTAAAACATCAAACATTATTGGTTTCCTTTAAAACAGAAATATTTGCGAATTTCCCGCACAAAGCCTTAGTGACATTTACTTTGTCTGTAATAAAATTTTCCTGTCAAAACCGTTTCGTCCTATGCATGGGTATATACAACCAATTTTTTTTAATATTATAGTAACACTAACATTTTCGTGACTCATAATTTTATTGTGATAAAAATTGTTGAAGAAATGATATTCCGAATATCTTATACTGTTTGAAGCGCATTTTATACGATTATTGTATATTTTTATATGAAACGGAACGTAAAGAGAACATCGCTTCGCATCAGCTGTTGAATAAAAAAAATAACGGGAAATCGACGATGGAGATTGGTCACACCGACGGCCACATCAAATCTGGGGGTCTAGCGTGTGACCCTGTTATTTCTATCCTGCAATAAAATAGCTGTGTAATCCTAGATAAGTTTTGCATTGTTAAAATAGTGATACAAAAGTTGTAGTGTAATTTATGTGTAAAATATGGAACGTGCAACTGGAACAGAGGTTTACGGGTGTGGCTCGCCCCATTCTACGGACATAACGCTAAATATACAAACGACAACGGGTGGTAATTTCTCTATCAGTCTGAACGGTAAAAACACAGTTGAGCATCTAAAAAAGCTCGTTTCGAAGAAACTTAAAGTGTCAAAGGATCGAATATGTCTTCTGCATCGAGAAAGGTAAGTACGGAGGCGTCAGACGCCAAGCTTCTATTGTTAAACATAGGTATCACGGAAATAAGTTGCGTCGATTTGATGACGCATCCGCGTCCTTTGACATGATTATTGATAAACGATTTCGTTTACAGACAACTGAGAGATGGAACTTTAGAAGAAAATGGTCTCATGGACGGATCTCGGGTAATTTTGCTGCCGAGTGTTGAGACGGGCCTTCTGGTGAGTACGTCACGCAATTTCGAAACTTCATTGAATGCTCCATGATTATCACGTGTTTCGCAATAATGTAAAGCTAATCAATAAGATTTTATCATTTTATGACTAACATTACGTTTTGTGATGCATTTTTCTTTATTTTTTTTTTAGAGTCAAAGACCCGAAAATTCAGTGATGCAAGCATTGGAATCTTTAAATGATACACAAGTTAATGATTTCTTGAGTGGTAAATCACCCCTTAATTTAACCATGCGACTTGGCGACCACATGATGTTAATTCAGTTGCAGCTGTCAACTCTTAACTCAAGTTCATCTGGAGGAACTCGAACTTTAAGAACATCAACTCCTACTAAAAATTCATCTGTACGTACAAAGTGTGATTCCAGGGATATTCAAAGTCCACAGATGGCACAGAAATCTTCACATTGTGATGATTCTACGCTACATAGTGATAAGTCAAAACCAGAGAACACAACAAATATTTTGCAAAAACAAGATCTTGATATGTTACAGAATGCTTTTGAATTATACCGCACCATGGCAGAAGAAAAATTTGCTGAGAAACCTGCATCAAGTAAAAACAAAGAAGACCAGATGGATACCTCAAACTGCACTCTTTCAGATCTATCAGATACATCTATAGAGAGTGAGCAGTCTCCAATTAAATCTCTGTCTAATTTGGTCTCTAGTCCAATTGATTCCACTTCTGAAAATAGAGATGCAACAATAGCAAATTCAGTCAAAAATAGCTTAATAGACTTGTTATCTTGTAATAAATTAGCTCCTGAGGCCGTTCCATCTACAAGTGCCATGAGTGACAAACTCTGCCCTTCAACTTCTCACACTCCAGACAGTTCAATAAGTGATGACAGTGATAATTTTACAGATCAAAGTTCATTTTTAGCTGAGAGTACTATAGATGAATATCCCATGGAAAATTTGTTTAACAGTGCAGTTGACAAAGGCTTGTTTGATGAACAAGACGAATCCATGATGGACCGGGAGATATCAAACCTAGCTACAACAAGTCATGGAACACAGGAATCATCAGCTACATTACCTTCTTTCCAAAGCTTAAATGAGCCTTTAAAGAACAAGCGCTTCCAATATTTACTTCATAAAACATCAAAATTCAAGCATCCTATTGGTCACAATAAGCAGAAAGCATTCCTGCAGTCAGTAAATAAACATAAGAAAAAAATTCAACCGATGAGTCAAACTGAAATATATCCACAACCATCTACCTCTAGGACAGAACCATTTATGAGTGCAAAGAAATCAGTTCAGGTTGTACAAGAAGAAATTGTAACCCCATCCACATCCAAACAATCATTTAAAGCACCAGATGCTCCTAAGAAACCTCAAAGGTCTTCTCCAACCCCCCCTGTAGATACAAAAGCCCTTATAGAAGCATCCAAGAATTTGACGCAAAAACTGAAAAAGTTGTCAAAGGAGGTTTTAACCAATAAAATTGATCTCAGAACTGCTGAAGAGTCGGTGCGTACGAAGATAGGTCCAGGAGCTGTGATAGAGTCCATGAAACATCATGGCAAAGGAATATATTCTGGGACCTTCTCGGGCACTCTAAATCCAGCTCTACAAGACAGGTAAGATATTATATTCATTTTCTTAAATATGATGTAATACTTCATGTTAATCACACAGTATTTGTAATAACCTTGACGAGATCACTAATATTAAAAGAAGGTCATAATTTGGATGTATTAACTTAACTACAATAATATTACAAAAAGGTATAAATGGAAAGCTACACACTATATTGATTAAAAGAAAAAATATCATGGACAAAGTGAATAGTGAACCTTTATTAATATCTATAGGATGTATTAATGAAAAGAAAACTTTTTAGCCATTTTAAGGATATTGCACATAATAATACTGATGAATAAGGTTTGGCATAGTTAAAGTTTATGTGGAGAGAGATTGCGAAAAGGTTTTATGAACCTCCTTTTGCCCGCGGCTCTGTTCGCTTAGTTAATTTTTGTCTAATAACTCTACTTCTGAAACAAGAAATATATAAAGATAAAGAGTTTGTTTGTCTTCCCTGTAAATACAGAAAAAAAAGTAAAAAGTAAAAAATATCTGATTGGTAGTTTTCTTTTGCTATAAATACCTAATCAGATATTTTCGAAGTTCTAGTGCTTTGATTTGTACCGGCTGGCACTTCAAAAATATCTGATTACGTATCAATAGTAAATGAAAACTACAAATCAGTTATTTTTTACTTAAGTGTACTTTTTCGTTGTCGGTTTTTATTATATATTTTTTTGTCTTTATTTTTACATATTTATAGACATAATACATAGTAGCATATTAAGAAGAAACTATTTTAAACATTTAGTAAGTGAAAAATCAATTATCTCCTATTTTCTACAATTATTTATAGATATTTTTTTCAAATTTAAATAGGACTAACTTTGAGGTATAAATAACCCTATCCAATAAAAAAATAATGAACGAAATCGGACTACACTATAAAAAATTATGCGTGGTCAAACATAATAAAAATATATATATATACGTGTCGAATTAAGAACTTCCTTTTTTTCGTCGATTAAAAATTCGTTTTGCATTATTTATACTTAACAATAACAACCTCAATAACATTTATACTTAACGAATTATGATCGATTTTCGACCACGAGGCAATCATTAGTTTATTTAGTTAGTCATACTTATTTACCACTAGCATTGCCCGCGGCTCCGCCCGCGTTCAGATGACCAAAAACCATATTCTTAGGTTTTACATATTAGTATACTCTTACGTTGCAGTTTTTGTACTTTTTCTCAGAAATGAGATATTTTCCCGCGGTAATAAGTATCCTATATGTTGACCCGGATAACCAGCTATCACAATACCAAATTTCATCAAAATCCCTTCAATGGTTTTCCGTGATGCGGTAACAGACAGACAGAGAAAAATTCTAAATACTATAGATTCGGCCTCTGTATCGATAATAAAGTTTATTTCGATAAGATTTTCCAAAAAATATTTAATGTACAGATTCGGCTTAGTTACAATTTTATTATATTATATATGTATGGCTTATTACTCAAAATGTAAAACAAATAGTTTTGTAAGAAAAATGATTATACTCAGGAAAATTAATACAATATGCACAATACACATGCACTGCTAGATCAGCACTTATCATGTCAGTTGACTTATTATCCATTTTCATCTTGTGAGTATTTGTTTATATATACCTAAACTACATCTCATTTATACATGAACTAGATTTGCATATCACAAATATGTGAATTAGTTTAATGTGTCAAAATATATCAATTTTATAATTATTGTCTCTAGCGGTTGAACCTTTGATTGAAATTAGCATTAATATTGAATATGTCAATACTTATCTAGTACTTAATCGAATTATTGACCCATCCTCGCATATCTCAAGAGTCTCTTAACGTTTTGCAACAGTTTTATATTCTACTAGCGACTCACCCTCGCTTCGTTCGGGTTCGTCCGTAGCTTACTTCTCAATACAAATTTTCATCCCCATTTTAACCCCTTTAAAGGATGATTTCCGGGATAAAAAGTATCCTATGTCCTTCCCAGGGTCTCAATCTATATTCTTACCAAATTTCATCTAAATCGGTTTAGTAGATGCAGAGATTACCCCCTACAACGTCACAAACTCACAAACTTTACCTCTTTATAATATTAGTACAGATATGGAACAATGTCATGTACCATGAAAAAATATAGCCTATGTCACTGTGAAAAATCATTGTACATATAATAGATCACGTTCATTCGTTGCTTCGTATGGTTAAAAAGAAAGACAAATCAACCAAACAATTTCGCATTTATAACATTAACTATCTTACGGCCGTGGCTCGGCTCGCGTAGTTTATCACTCCATCACATTATAAAACAAAGTCCCACCTCCGCGTCTGTGTGTTTGAACGCGATGAACTCGAAACTACCGAACGGATTTTCATACGGTTTTCACCACTGGACAGGGTGATTCGTGAAATTTTATTCATTGGCCGAAATATGACGTTGATTCTTGAAGATGTTTGAAATAATCATGCCACCTGGGAATTTTACTGGTATGCACCGTGTAAACGAATAGTCATTTGAAAACAGTTTATACTCTTGAAAAGATTTATTAGAACTGTAGCAACGCTACGAGTATATGTACATTGTTGGTCTAGGGACCCACCCGATCGAAGCCAGGGTAAGTCCCTAGAATTATAAATGCTTTGTTCCTAAGGGTACTGTACTATTAGTACGTATACGTATTATAGTTAGTATATTAGTATCAGCCTGATCCCACCGGTCGCGTCGAATTGACGTCCCGCCGGGGTATGAAAGTTTTTATTCTCTTAGAATAGAGAGTGCCCTTGCGTTGAGCGCGTACTTGTGTACTATAATACCTCCTGCGCAATTGGTTAGTCTCATTGTCAGTGAGATAGGCCGCCGTGGCCGAAATATCTCGCTCCGGGGATTTTAAATTCTGATAATGTTTAAAGAAAAACGTATACATTTTACATTTATATAGAAGTAAAAATTATTCAATCTTAAAACAGATTAAAACAGTAGCATTCGTAATTTCATAACTTAGCTATGTATGTACTTCTACAATAAAACGTACCTTACCTATATATTACTACGTTCTAACTTCTATCATTTTATCTGAAAAATGGATTTAAACGGAAGTGATATAGCTGATTTCATTTGTGATAAATCTCGTAGGCTACAGAAGAGTTTCCGCGGGATATGTGATAGAATAGTTGGGCCGAAGAAAAGATTAGATTGTTTTAAATTTAATAATTACATAGCTCTGTCAGGTACTTGTAAAATGATTCACGTGTATCTAATACATCAAGTCATATTATTTTTTTTAAATATGTTACAAAGTAGTCAACAAACAGACCTTAAACATGTACATAATATTTTCTTTAGATAAGTCTAGTTCGTTCAATTTACGTCTAAAATATTGTAATTAGTTAAACTTTTGAGTCAAGCTTCGATGTGTTGTAATGAATTTATCTTTTTTTATAAATTGTATTTTTTTATAAATTAGCTATAGTTGTATTTATAGCTAATTTATTAAAAAAATATTATTTTATATACATAAACTTTTAAAATCATTACAAATTAGCCGTTTTTCTTCTTTTCTATATCCCACTCTCAAAAATTTGTCTGAAAGTGCTCTATATCTCTCCCACCAAACTTTTCTATCCTTCAGAGAAAATCCCTATTAAATCATTTCAGTCATTTTTTAGCCTTTTAGGTTTATTTATTGGATTATATTATATTAGTTGTATAGATACACAACATATTAGTCGATATTGAATCATAATTTTCAACTTCTAATGATAAACGCTGCATGCGTCATTATAAACAGGAAAATTTTAAAATAACAAAAAAATTACAGTAAAGTAAGGCAATAAGAATAAGAAATCCAACAAAAAAACTTATGTTTTTCGATTAATGTGTAACATACAAATTAATCGAAAAACTAAGTGCCAAAATATAAAACAGGTCGAACATTTATATTTTTTTATGTACAGAGGACATAGCTATTACCTATATATGTACGTATCAGTAATCAGCCATTTTACTGATAGACCATTGGTACAATTACACCATACGAATTTTTGGTTATTAAATATCTTATGTAACCCGATACAGTGTAAAGTATCTTTGGATAGATCATTGAAAATGAGATTGATGTTTCAAAAAAAAATGATTATGTATAGGTATATTCAATTGTTATTTGAAGTTACTTAAAAAGTATAGATGAAGCTTTAGTCTTATTTCTCTCTTAGATTTACTCGAGTATTTGACTTTTAAAACAAATTGCCGGTTTTCGGTTTTTTTGCGATTTTATTTTACTTTTTTGTTTCCGATGCGATGTTTCGAATGCTTTTCAGCAAACATGGTCACCGGTTGCGGGAGAGACTAACCTCCAGGTAAATTTCTAAGAAATCTATTGTTAACTGTAACACCGGCGTGTCCGCGGTCGTAGAGGGATTAACGTTTGAAAAATTACACAGTTATTAATTATTATAGACTGTGACCACCCGCAAAAATATCGCATAATTACATTAGTTTATAATTTAAATTAAAAAAAAATAGAAATCATAACGAAATATCTCATAAATCATAATTTTAATTTTTTTAGTAATTCATACATTCTATTTGATTTTTTCCTAAAGAAACTGGCTTGAACTATATTAATAATGTACTTTAGACCGATTCCATACGAACTGCGCACGAAATATTACAGTATACAATAAATGTTTGCCCTAAGTTATACTAATGACACGATGTGTATAGATCAAGCGTAACTCCAACAGCTCAGATATTAAAATGCTCTCCGAGACATGGCAACACAGCAAGCTTCCCAATTGTAGGCTGCTACTGAGAATTTCTTAACAGAAATCCCAACGAATATACATAGTTAACCCAACCTGACTCGGACCTAGGACCTGTTTAAAAATTGAACGGTATTGCGAGCCCCGCACGCGACATACGATTTAGATTCTTCATAGCAATATTTATATTTATTTACTGATATTTGATATCGAATGTTATTTACTAATTACAGATACGGACGACCAAAGAGGGATATATCGACAATAATCCACATATTGAACGATTTGCTGTGCGCCGCGCCACCCATCGCTTTGTCGCAGGTAAACATACTGTTTTTACTTCTGCTTGCTCACTTTGTCCAAACATTGCACAAGTGTTTCATTCTTCTGGCTACTAACCTACTGAAATATTGACTTAGAAGACGTAAAATATGTCCGTCAGAATTAAAATATAATTATAGCCGTATGAAAAGCGTTTTAATTGAATTGAATCAATAATTATTAAATATTTATAATTTAAAATTTAAATTATAAATTTTTTTTATAAATATTTAAATTAATAATTTAAATGTTAAAAATCCTTATACATTATGTAAAATAATCTAATTTATTGCCCGCTAACTCGGTAAAAGCGTTGACTAAAAGCAACCTGTGTGTTAATCATCTCGTCGTGGTGGGGGCGTAGCCAAGAAACACAATAGGGGGAGGGGGTCGTACCATGCGGGTTGTTCCAGGTACTTCTCTGAGAGCAGGGTTGACAGTTGGAGCAACCCCATGGTTGTTGTGTTCTCCCGGGCTTGTCGTCATGTCCGACTTGGTTGAGTGTGTAAGCGATCCTGCGACACCTCGCTATGACGGGGCAGGATCCGTTGTGTTGGTAGTACTGGCATTTCTGGTCGGTGAGTCCCACATAACCGATTTGTATGCAGGTGTTATGTATAAATGCATTTCCCAACGTTAAAAATTCTGTATTCCGAATTTGACGTCACTCAGTTGAGCATTCACAATATAAGATCTATTGGTTTATTAAGGATAATGCTTATATGTATATATTATTAGATAACACGACACACCTTTGTGTTTGAGGTCATACAAAAATTCATTAAAAGTAAATACGGGTTTGTAAAAAAATATGTTAATTTCTAAAAAGTTTATTTGAACTATTACGAAAGTTATTATTTCGCCAAATTGGTTCAGCCGCTCTCAAGTGATGCGCTTACAAACGAACATCGTTTTATTTTTAATTATATAGGCTTACTTAAGCCTATGTTACAAAGGTCTTATATTCAATATATTAAATTTCATTTAAATCTATCTAACTCTTCCATTGTGAAGAAATAATAAATATACACACACATACAAACTATCGCATTTATAATAATAGTCTAATAAAAATATGAAAAAACGCCTATCGTAACCCGTTTATGTTAAACTTCCAGAAGGAGACGAAACACTCGTGTTCAACAGTCACGTTGGAGGAGCCCAAGTGTCCGAGCTGTCAGCCGTGCTCGTACGGACAGTGCAATGGACACTCGAGCAAACAAACGTGCGAAAAGAACTGCACCTGCCGACTGAACCCACCCACGACTGATTGCAAGAAATGCGATATGGCGAAAACTTTAGCCATGGAAAACTCGAAAACAAAGTGCAAATTGGAACAACTAAGACTGGTAATGCAACAGAAGAAACAAAAACGGGAGGCGCGCAAGTTAAAAACTTTACCGTATACTACACCCCCCAAAACTATAGCCCCCGACCAAGCGGCCATTCAGGAGGAAATAGAAACTGCTGCTTAACACCAAATATTACTACACGTTGCTAGTGCGCTCGGAAGTGCTTAACCCTTCTATTTTAACGTCGGTTGACGTCTTTTTATTATATGTTATACATATTGCTTCATTTATTAATCTAATACTTTGCTAATGTTATGCAAATATAGGCAACTTACTAAAATCAATTTGACTATGCATTATCTTTTTTGTTATGCAATCTGTTTTATTTTTTAAATTATTTATTCACGTTTCAAATACAAGAGTTAGGTGCGTGCACTGAAGTTGGCAACATTGTCCTAAAATATTTTTTTAACAATTATTTTAATCAATGTATGATAATTAGTGATGGACTAAACCATATATAGAAATGTAGTTTATATTTTGTATAAGTTACATAAAACCTCATACTAAATACAGCTAAAGCGCACTGGCAATGGTTTTATAACCGTATTATAATTTCGAAGGCAAGTTTGATATATGCTAAATTACCATATTTAATAATTTCGGAAAGTAGATGTAAGTCTTAAGTGCTATTACGCATGTACAAATGAAAATAAATTAGCAAAATCCTAGTTGTAGAGTAAAGTAGGGCACAGGATCGATCGAGGCGACAACGATATATGGGAGAACGAATTTAGTATCCACACTGTTTGAACGGGTTGATGTTGTGAAAATATAGCCTTCATAATACTATGAACTATTTGGACGGTAATGTTACAGTTTGGCTGTGAGAGATGTACCACACTATACATTTTGCTATATGCATTGTTTCTACGGGACTGTATATCTCATAAACACGAGATTAAAATATGTTAAAGTGCAGAGTGTTTTATCTCGTCATGACAAAGCCTTCTTTATAATATGGCTGAATATTTTTGTAAAAAGAAAAGTAGACAAATGAATATAATATCCTAATTTATCAATATTTACTATAACATACTGTATATAATTTAAAATAACAACTATATATAACGTCTTACTTTATCAATATTCACTATAATGTTGTAAAACTATATTAGACGTAGTCCTTTAGTAACAATCTCATATAAATATTTGCTTTTGTTTTCCTTCCTTCGTATGTATGTAATTTGCAGTAACCTAAGACATGGCGGTACATTTCTCGCGGTCAGATTATATAATTAGTAGACACTAGATGGCGCTTTATATAATGAAATATACTGTACATACTTTTGATTATAGTTAAATCATTTTTAGGTTGTAATTTTAATTTTAGAGATTGGAGTAATAATGTATCGTTTTAAATTATTATTAATAGACTGGAGATAATACGACATTGAGAGGTTCGTTCTTCCATATACGGCTGGTGCAACCCGCTGAGGTCTGAAAATGATTTTTTTGTTGTTATATTTTAGATTATATTTTATTTTATTGGAACAGTCGACTTTTAGACATGTGTTTAGTTAAATTTTTTTTGAGATCGCTGTTGTTGTACATTTTGGAAATTACTTTAAAGTTAATTGTCACGAGCGTGGGGTTCACTTTCTATATTTTCTAACACACGATTTTGACTCCACGTTTCTTTAGGAAATAATTGGCACTGTTATATTTAGTTTTGTTTTTTTTTTCCTTTTCAAAAAATTGTTGTTTAAATAAATGTTTTCCTCATTATACCCATTTTTTAGTTTCTTTTGGTTTTAACGACCCGATTAACTTGAATGCAATAAATAAGAAGATATTCTAACAATCCTATGAGAAGATTATATTAGCTTATACAAGCTTTGTACATAAGTAATTGATAGTGAAAATAGAATTGCTTTTTATCTTATTTCTGAAGAGTAAATTACTAGCGTTTTATGGATGTTTAAGTAGTGATGTCGGGAGTAAAATGCCGTTTTTATTTCCCTGTTCATTGTTTAGGCTACAATCAATTATGCCAATATGTATGTAAAAAATCATAATAAATATGAAATGGATAATTTTATTCTGCTTGATGAAGTATGCGTAAATAAAAAAAATATATGTACATTTTGGCATAATTGAAGTAATAATCAAAAAGTTGTTATCTTACATTGGTATTGGTATCATAGTGATGTATCCCCGATGTAGTCAGGCATTTCCTTAAAGAAATCTATTTTATTGATACAAGGAAAGCGAATCTGTTCATTAGGAATAGTTTGAAAATTGTTATATTTGATAACTTTGTGAGTGTGGGCAGAGATCTGACACTGCGTTTATGGAGATTCTATCGAAATATTTATTTTATACACGCTTTGTAGATTAAGAAATTAATTTATTATTACATTATGAAGTCAGTTCCGTATAATAATTAAATTGCTTAGTTACTTTACAGAAAACACGTGACTATGATAAAATAATAAATAAAATGTTCTGTGTCAGATCTCTTCCTTATATAATGGAAATATAAAACATAGAAAGATTATGACTTAGTCTTCCGTGATGTTTCGTTCTGCCGAACTGACCTAACCTTGGCGCGGGACCAAGAGACAGGATATGAAGTTCGATTTCAGGATTGTTAAAGCAATAAATGTTTCCTTACATTGCCGTTGAGTAACGCAAAGTGCCTATTGATGTGTAGTAAAATATACATATAAGTGTTGTGCCATGTGTATTATTATTAGACTCGTTTAAATGTGGCACCTTAATTTGGTTGGTTTCTATTGTTTACCAGTCTGGAGTATCGAGATCTCAAACCTATGTATATATTGATAAAAGCCGATATTAAAATTTACTTTCGTTACCATATTTCCATACATTATTTATGAAATCCGTATTGTTTGGTCTATAACGGCTATAAGTTCACAGGGTTGCAAAAATCATATATTGTTTTTGTCTTTGTATTTTGCATGTCTAGTGAGGAGAATAAAGTTACATACTGAAGTAAAGTGTTTTATTGTTATTTAAGAATCTCGAGCCGAAAAATTATAAATAGCGATAGATAAAAGAAAAATTTAATACTCCTAATTTATGCTGGATCCTCCCTCAGGCACAACACGATATCTAAACACTAATTTCAATCTGAATTATATATAAATAAGAACCTTGAAAATTTAAATATAACACATGAAAAGATAAAATCAGCATGACGTACCCAATTAGAAAGGTTTTTATGGGTAATACAAAAAGTAGCGATATATTAGTAGTTCCTTAATTAATATTAATTAGTATCGCTTCGTTGGTCTAGTCACATATAGAGGCTTGCATGTAGCAGAGATGCGAATCAGGAAGTCCTGAGTTCGAGTTAAAGTAGACGTTGTTTTTTTTTAATTACAATACACTCAATAATAGCCCGGAGTTGGGAAGTTGGTGGTGTTGACAGCCCCGCACCTCGGAGAGCACTTTAATCCCTCCACGACCGCGGACACGCCGGCGTTACAATTAATAGATTTCTTAGAAATATACCTGGAGGTTTTCAACTGTCGGTCTTGCATATTTTCTCTCACCGGTCGTATAGAATTTTCGTCCCATGTGTCAGAGTTAAAGAAGAAGAGAGTGTACTTGTCTGTCATGCATACACGCGCGCTGCACTGTAATATGTTTCGCAGTTGGTTAGTCTCAGTATTATTGGCCCAACAACCGCAATCAGGATAGTTTCGGTTTGTTTGCCAATAACCATAAAAACAATAATAATAAATAAGCAAGAAGTCGTACCATTAATCCCGAGTTGCTCATAAGCAAACAAGATTAAGGGGGGCGACCACGATTTCAGTGATATGGCCATTTAACTATTCTATTATAAAAATCCACCCAAATTAGGACAAACATACATATGCTTACATTAATAATGTTTATACTCGATGATTTTATTTTGGAATGTAATCATTTTTAGTGTTACTTTAATCGATACATATTTTACAATAAGATGTATATCAAATAGGGAAATCCTCTACCGTCTCTTCGCAAACCCGAGAGTCTGCCAAGAACTTTGAATTATAGTCTTATTTTTATGACGGATCGTAAATCAATCTGCATTTCATTTCTCTTTCTTATTATATCTTATTTAGGGAGGTGTATGTCGGACTGTCTCCTTCAATACTTACATAGCATATCACGTAGAACTCGTTCAATATTTATATGTAAATGGCCGCTATACGCTAAAACGGTTGTTAAGTGCCGTTATCAATATATTGTCACTACTCACTGTTTCCGGTTTTGCACGGCAAATAAAATTTATATATATTCATAAACGTTTAATGTTAATTTCAAATGTTTATATTAATTTTGTTTTCAATTTACATTATATGTCTATGACAAATAATCTTTGTTTCTTGTTAAACGCAATTTTAAAGAATAATTGAGAAAATAACACACAATATTTTTCTAAAAAACATTTAATTTCGACAGGTGTTAAGATAAACTGTATATTAATCTATTGAACAAATCAACAATTATTTTTGAAACCATAAGCGTTAAAATTTGACTTAAAATCCTAATGATATGAACCCAGAATGAATATAAAATCTGCACTAAAATATTGCTAATAGCAAATTAATACAACCTAAAAAAATTACATTGTCTTTTAAATAAGTCAACATAAATTAATATAACTTAAGCTCTGAAAGAAACAATCATAACAAAGTCGATTCTATAAAACTAAGGAAGGATGTAGCTCAGCGACTTGAAAGCATACTCTAACAATTGTACAACATTCATAATAATTACTAGACATTGAACAGTATCGTATAAACATTCCTTTACTAACTTTACTTACTAAAAAGAATCGATATATTATATCGAAAATCGATTCAATCAATTTAAAACCCAATGTCAAATAATTACCACAGATTATAAGAAAAAACAGTGTATACATCTATTAAAATTTCAAAATGCAAAACGGTCAATTGTACTATTACACGGCACTATTATAAAGAGTGGAAAAAACAGGAGCTAAAGAAAAGTCTGTACTTCACGTAAATTATTTATTATATAAAGTTCATCTCATATAAATAGCACATAACCCACACAACACCGCCGGCGAAACGACTGCGACACTGAGAATATAAAAACAAATTCGTTACCTACTTACTGCACACATAACCGTTCGAGTCATTTCGTCGGAAGCGACACTTAAAGTTTAAGACAAACTCTGTATTTGACTACTAACACCTACTCGACTTAACAGAGAAAACCGCAAAAATTTATTTTATTCAATTAATCTACCAGGTAGAGATGAGTTCAGCCGAGTGCAATATAAATCTTTTTAGAGTGAATGTAGCAAAAAAACAGCTACAGTAACTCTTAAGATAATTTGTTTTTTTGTTGAGAAATTCTGTCACGCTGAGTTCCCTCAAAAATCAAACCTGTATATAAAAAAACCAGTGACCTAATCACGTAGAGAAAAAAATAAAATTAAAACTGTAAGCGAGTATGACAAAACACCACATTTATCATGACCGTGCTAATACAGTATAGTATAAGAGGCTGTAGTCAAATTGAGTGGCAGTCTTAGAATAAGAGTGTGCTCATGCCACCCATCTCCGCTTGTTCCTTGACAAATATCTCGAAGTACTGGTAAATGATGGTGACAGCGAGTAAGATACCAGTGCCAGAGCCTATGGCCCCGAGGAAGTCTGCTAAGACGGACAGTGCTCCAATACAAAGTCCTCCGAAGGCAGCTGCTGTAGGGATGTAGCGGTTCAGTTCGTGGATCATTGAGTTGTCTCTGTGACCACGCATTACCATCTGCTGTTCTTTTAGTTGTTTCGCCACCTGTGGGATTGAGAGTTGCTTTAGTATTATGTAGATATTATTAATATAAAAGTTAATATTCGTTTAATAAAAGTAAATATAAAAAAGTAACATATTATCAAATTCGGTTTAAAATATTTTAAATAAAACTATCTTTACGCATTTTGACGCGGAATTATTTTGATGTTTTGAAGAAATCTGAAGATAGTTTTATTTAAAATGTCAAATATCTGCGCAAATCTTAGAAAATATTACTAAAATATCTTCACAATTTCTGAGCAAACACAAAAAAAAAACCATAACAATCAACAAATAATTCCAACAGAATCACTTACATCCTTAGCAGATGATCCGGACACATCAATCCAGGTCTTAGAGAAGAAAGCACAAGAGCCCAACATGAAGATGATGTATAGCACCGCATGCAAGGGGTCGTGAGCAATATGTGTCAGGGATTCCGGGGGGCTGAAGTAGTAGCACAGCCCTCCCACGGGATAGGCGCGGGCGGGACCGCCGCCGCCCACGTCAGCCCAAACACCGAGGAGATTCACAAGGAAATTACCACTAAATTTGACAGCTAACATCTGAAATATATAACATGGATTAGATGTTACTTTTATATATTTAAGTTAATAAATCTCAAAATAACAGTTTTTTACTGAATGGATATGAAAATATATACGGAAAACAAAAACAAACCTATCCCACGGGAACCGTACATTTTCCGGGATAAAAAGTAGCCTATGTGTTATTCCAGACTAAAATCTCTGTGCCAAATTTCATCCAGATCGTTCAGCCGCTCTGGCGTCATAAAGTAACAAACATCCATACATACAAACTTTCACATTTATAATATTAAATTAATACGGAAACATATCAGGAAAAATTAGGCTACTTTCATTTTAGAAAAAGAATTATTAGGGTCCCGCTCAAAAAAATGAAAATACGTACGTATAGACGCACCCGGGCAGTGTACGCAGCAATTTTTTTTTAATATTTAATATATATTAACAACATAGCATAATATGTAGCAAAAAATTTTTTATGCTACGACAGAAAAAATAACTGACAAAAAAAAATACTATCATCAATCCAAGTTCTCCCAATTCTAAATTTATAAGCCAAAAGAATAAAATTCATCAATAATTAAAAATTATTATTACCTGAGAAATGACATATAGATTGGAAACCAAGGCAGACTGCAGGATGATAGGAATGTTGGAGGTGTAGAACAGCTTGATTGGGTACGACGAGTACTGGCCGCGGTAGCGAGCCGACTTGATTGGTAGGTCCACTCTGAAGCCCTGAAATTGTATTCAAAGCAATCCATACAATACATTGAAATAATTTATAAATCTATATACAATATAATAATAAACTACGGGACTTAAACGCGTGAAGGTGTCGAATGTTTGATGTCAACTCCGACGCGTACCGGTTTGCAATATAACTTTAAATTTTCGCGTTCCATAATTATATAATAATGATGTCCAAGGTAAAATAATTAGAATATAAATCATACGAAGGGTATAATATTCAAAAAAAGGATTACCAATCACCAAATTTTTCATTGAGGAGAATCCAAACCATAATTAAAATAAAAATAGCTTTTCATTTACTGACAAAAAATAACTATAATTTATATATATAATTTAAAAACACAATATAAATAAAAAAAACGTGTGTATGTACTTATTATACTTATTTGGCGTAACAGAACAAAAAAGCTACAGATTTCATTCCGTATATCACAACTTTCTGTTTAAAAAGGAATGAAGCTAACTTCATCATGTCGCATTTTGGCTGTCTGTGTGCGCTCATTGTAAAAATTTACTAAGAAGTATAATTTCAAAAATAAATCAAATAATTAATCAATCAACGTACCTGGAAGTATATGACTATAGCAAACACAAGCACGGTGGCGAGCAGGTTCATCAGGTTGGGCAGGTTCTGGCGGTAGAAGGCCTCCCTGAGGGCGCGCACCTTGTCCGGGCGGGTGGCCAGCAGGTGGAACAGGGCTATGACTGCCCCTTCGAATTCTGTGCCGCGACCTGAATAGAATTAAGTATATTTAAATTTTCAGTCCTCCTAAACTTAATACTTTCTTAGATTTAGGTGAATATTTGATATTTTAAATAAAACTATCTTTTAGGATTATTTCTCGGACTCAGTCTTTCCCGTGACCATGATCTATGTAAAGCATTTGGAACGTCGGGAGGCAAAAATCAAAATAAATCCGCGATAGGTTTCATCATTTTAAAGATTATTAGGTTTTGCATATATTTTATACTGAGGTACATGATCTACATATATTTATTTTTATTCTCAGTTTTGTACGGAAATAAGCTACAGGAGTCTAAATCATCAAAAAGACAAGAAAACTTAGGAGTCACTGAGAAAAAAGTGTTTAAAAGTAAAAATATAAAATTAAAATATCCTGAAAATTGTAGGACAAGCGCTGTCCACTTTATCATGTAGGACATTTTTTTTTAATTGAGAACACACTTACGCGTCATGCGTTGCCGTTGTCTTACAGTTATTAAAAATATGACCGTGAGGGGCGACAACTGCATTCAAGCATAGGACTGCGAAATCCTACCATTATATTTGTAGAACAATTTGATCATTCAATTATGCATATTTTTAATAATATATACTATGAAAATCAGTCGGTTATTAATACATTTTATGACATTGTTATTTTAACAAGTTCGGAGAGGAGGACTATTTGATCCAATTTGCAGGACAACATTTTTTTCTTATTTAATGTTGGGTAATACCAAGATTAAATCGTAAAACAACCTGTTAGTAATAAATTTTATACTATCACCATTTTGATCTGATGTTCTGTATGAAGCCACAATTGCACCTACCACTGTCAAATTCTCATACAAATAATAGTTGGGTGTCTTGTAAAAAAATTGTACACTTACCAGTGTTGACGGTAGCAGGAGAGAATGCTTTCCATACAATGGTTTCACAAATGTTAGTAGCGATGAAGAGAGAAATACCAGATCCCAGACCATATCCTGAAATACATTTTACTTTTAGTAACATATTTTTAAATTAAATATAAATCTTAGAGATAACAATGTATTTGAATTAAAATCTAATAATTTGTCTGTAAGAGCAATAATAATAAAATAAAAAATAATAATTTAATTGATACATTTCCAAATAAACTTATATTTTATAATAAAAAGCGGAAATACAAAAAAAAGTTTGTCCTTGACAAATGAAAGATTCTATTACCTTTTTGTAAGAGTTCATCAAGCAGTAGAACAATCAAACCAGCAACAAACAGCTGTATGATGATGAGCAGACACACTCCTGCTCCAATTTCACTAGGCTCTCCATACATTCCAGTCATGACATACACAATGGCTTGACCCACGGTGATTACCATACCAAATACTGTTGGCAAAATAAAAATATATATAATGTAAGATATAAAAAATATGTGTTCATCACATTTTTATTTTTATTTCAACAAACATATTTCAATATGTTAATGCAAATTTATAAAAATAACTCATTTAGCAGGTCATTTAATATAAACAAAATCAATTTTATATTGCAGTAAAACTTCTGTAGGCGTGACTGAGGGGGTTAGTGAATATATTGAAAACATGAGTGTTGCGGAACTGAGAGTCAAATTTATTATAAATAATTAAAACAAAATATTACATTTAAATCTAATTTATTATTGCTTATAAAAATGAATATTTATTACTAAAAATTTTATAGAAATTATTATATTTATATTTTGATTCGTTTTAATTTAATTGCGGTATATGCCACAGCACCAAATAAGTTTTACTTCAACCACACACAAACACAAAGGTTACACATATTCATTTTTCTTTAATTTATTTATATATAATTAAATTTATATTTTTCTTTAAAATATCAAATATATTACATATCAATAGTTGCATTGAATAATAAAATAGAGCAAGAAATTTTTTACTAGCAAAAATTTATATAGTGGCAACATTTTCTCTTCTTTTTGAAAACAGGCAAGGATACCACCTACCCATACAAATATGATATTGGCGAAGTGCCTAATTTGAAACTGTTCAAAGTAATTGGCAAAGTGCCTTTAAAATATTTTAAATATGCATTATATTTCACAAGTCAATTGTGATGGATATTAAAAGATATATTCATTGCAATTGATAATAATTTCGTTTTATTTTTAATAATTAGTTATTATTATAGATACATATTATATTGTAAAAGTATAATAGATATGAAATATATGCATTCATTACATATATCTTTTCATAAAAAAGCTATACTGAACTTACATTTTTGAGCTCCATTAAACAATGCTCTATCTTTAGGAGTATCACCAACTTCAATAATCTTTGCACCAGCAAGTAACTGCATGATGAGACCTGATGTGACAATTGGGGAGATACCAAGTTCCATAAGGGTTCCTCTATTCGAAGCCAGGATCACACGGATCCAGTAGAAAGGATCCGCACTGTCTGATGACATTATACCGAATAATGGGATCTAAAACATCAATAACAGAGTGTAACTTCTCAGAAGCTAACAATAGTATGAGATTAAAAATTATTCTTAAAAGGTCATACTAATTACAGCAATAAATCAACTTTCACTGAATATAAAATAATTTAGAAAATTAGAGAAAAACACTTTTTTAAGTATTAATGTGTATTAACATCATTTGTTGTAAAATTATATATTATAATCACATATGGATGGCGTTGAGGTGTTTGTAAGTGTGGCAAATATTTTGCTTACCTGGCAGCATACTAAGAAAATAAATAATGTGATTGCTGTCCATAATACTTTTTCTCTGAATTGGATCTGAAAAGGAAAGTTTCATTTATAATTGATGACTACGATTACATATCAATGTACAGTTATCCTATAAAGAGATTCTTAGGTTAGTATACTTTCACTTGGCCCAAAGCGGATACTTTGCTAAAAATAGTAACAATTTTAATTAAAATCAAGTATGCCTTTATCAAGTATACTCTTATAAGAAAAAATAGTAAAAAATAAGATATAATAAGATTTAGATAAAGACTTACCTTTCTCTCCGGTTTCGCTATTTCGGGTAATATACTGCAAAACGGTTTTATTACTTCAAGGAATTTGACTGAAACACAAAATTATGAATTATTCACACGTTTATCACAATAATTTATATTTTAACTCACAATATTCGGGTAAACTGAGAATACGTGTCTATACAATATTATATTCACTAATTTGGAGGATTAATATAAAAGATACTCACTTCCCATTTTGATTTACTGTGATTTTACTATCCTAACTAAAATATCAACTGTTCTATTCGAATGAAACCATTCAACTTTTGTTCAATAATAAGACTCAAACTACACTTTTACAAAAATGAACCTGCGCAACGCTACCAACGAGCTATTCGCAAATGACACGTCCACAACGTCATGTCACGTGACCTGTGATGTTGGCGTGCAGAATGTTGCCTTTATTGGGTATTTATCCACCAAGCTATTAAAATTATTTCATGAATTAAAAGCAAAAGATAAATAAAATAAGGTTAATTTTAGCTTAAAATAAATTAGGCAACAGTGCAGCTATATTATTATTTTAAAATATAATAACAAATAAAATATATAACGTTTTCGACACACACTACAAATTAAAATGATCATGATTTTTAGGTTAATCTTTTATTTAAATTTAAGACAACAATATATAAACGAAATATGACATTCCAGAAAAATAAATGCTATACCTATTTCTATCTCAAAAATATTAAATAAAAACTGATAATAACCATGTACCAACTTAATAAAAATTTTTTTATACCTTTTGAATGGAAACCAGAGATAAATAATTTTGTTATCTTTTTGTGGGCATATGTCACAGTCATCAGTGTCATGAGTCATCCGTATTCTGCAAGCTGTCATTTGTCACTTAACAAAAAAAATATTGGCCATGTGAGTTTTGACAGCAAATTTATGTTTTAACACTAATATTTAAAGATTTATTTAAATATTATATTACATGTTCCAAAATGCAACAAGCTCATCGTTCTGGGACTCTAAAACAGAGTAACAAAGCTCATAAATCACGTCATAGATCAAAACGGGGCATTTCGGCGGCTGTTAAAGGTCAGGTTATATTAATGCGGATAATAAATATTATCGTTTTGGTATATATTTATAATTAAATTTTTGTTATAGGTAAGGTAAATGTAAAAGAAATTGTACGTCGTAATCGCCATATCCTAAAGAAAGATGAGCGACGTCATCAAGCTTTACAAATTCGTAAAAACAAACGGGATGAAGTTTTGGCCAAAAAACGAGCAATTGGTGGTAATAGGAATCCTCCATTCTTGATATGCGTCGTGCCGTTGAATGCACAGCTAGATGTTCAGTCAGCGTTAGTTATACTAAAAACATGCTATGAAGGTGCTACTGTTAGTCAGTCACCGAATGGTATTTTACATGTTGGGTTAGTAAATATATTTATATTTGTAATATTTATACAGTATTTTACAACATGCACAAATTCTTTTCATTATTTAAGATAAATTACGTTTTTTCAGCTTGCCAAATTTCAAGCAACGCTTCTCCTTTATTTGTCCTGAAGTAGACAATGAATTCAGTGTACTTGATGCTCTCAAAATTGCTGATACAGTACTGTTTGTTTGCTCAGCTCTTGATGAACCAGTTGATGAATTGGGGGAAAAGGCTCTAGCTTTGTCTATGGCTCAGGGTATGCCTACTCCTATTGTGGTGGCTATGGATATAGAAGGAGTTCATCCTAAAAAACGAACAATTGAAAAACAAAATGTTCAAAAACTTATTTCCAAGTGGTTGCCTGAAGAGAAAGTTATGCAGTTAGATAAGAACTCTGATGGTTTGAATATTTTACGTCGAATTGGCAACCAGAAGAGGAATATAATCCATCACAGAGAAAAAAGGCCTTATATGCTAGCAGAAGACATAGAATATGTGCCAAATGCTGATGATGACAATGGCACATTAAAAATAAGTGGCTACTTGAGAGGAATGCCTTTAAATGTGAATGGTTTGATTCACATAAGTGGTTTAGGAGATTTTCAAATGTCTAGAATAGATGGTCTAGAAGATCCACATCCTCTACATTTAGGCAAGGAAAACTCAAAGACTGATACTATGGATGCAGAAGTAACAAAAGTTTCAGTATTACAAGTTGCAGATCCTGCGAAACAAGAGTCTCTTATATCAGAAAATATTCCTGATCCAATGAATGCTGAGCAGACTTGGCCAACTGATGAAGAAATAAAAGAAGCAAACATTGAAACCAAGAAAAAGATTAAAAAAGTTCCCAAAGGCTGGTCTGATTATCAAGCTGCTTGGATTGTAGACTCAGACACTGAAGATTCACAAGGGTCTAATGATGAAAGTGAAGAAAATGATGATAACGAAGATAATGAAGATTTCATGTCATGCGAGGAAGACAATTCTGACCAAGAAGCAAACGATGACAATGATTTTGAGTCTGTTGTTGCAGAATCTGAAATTGGCCCCACAGATGAAAAATACAATGAAACTGTAGATGCTTTTGAAGAAAATGAAATGTTAAAAAAGCTAGCAGCAGCAAAGGAAGATCAGCAATTTCCCGATGAAGTTGATACACCACAAGATGTTCCTGCAAGGGAAAGGTTTATGAGATATAGAGGCTTAGAGTCATTTAGAACATCCTCATGGGATCCTAAAGAAAATCTACCAGAGGACTATGCAAGAATATTTCAATTTGAAAATTATGAAAGAACCAGGCGAAGAGTATTTAAAGAACTTGAAGATAGTCTTGAAAATATGGTAAGAATCAACTACTCTTATAATATATTTATTTATTACATAATATTTGAGTTGTGTTTTTATTTGTATTTTATTTGCCATGACAGATTTTATTGTGGACCAAATAAATATGACCAGAAAGATGTAGATATAAGAAAGAGTAATGATTTTTCTTTGATTCATTTTGAGCATAAAATTTAGTAAAATGTCTTCAATTTCAGTATGGATTTTACATAACAATTCATGTAAAAGGAGTTCGTCAAGATCTCTGGAAAGCATTTCATGCTGCAAATCCTAATGCTCCAATTTCAGTTTTTGGCCTATTACCTCATGAACATAAAATGTCCTTAATGAATGTAGTTTTAAAGAGGACTGGTGCATCGGATGAACCAATAAAAAGTAAAGAAAGATTAATTTTCCAAGTTGGGTATCGAAGGTTTATTGTCAACCCTATTTTTAGTCAACATACTAATGGTAGTAAGCACAAGGTAAAATATTATTTTTAATTTAATATTATTTTGTAATAGTTTCTTTACCATCACCAGTTTTAATATATTTTTGTTTCCTTTTTTTTCAGTATGAAAGGTATTTCCAGCCTGCTTCAACCTGTGTAGCAACTTTCTTTGCCCCTATTCAATTCAGTCCATCCACTGTTTTATGTTTTAAAGTAAGTAAAAGCAACAGACATTTTATATTTTTAACATAACTCTCTCTAAGGGACTACATAATATTTTACTCAATTTTTTTTTATTTTTTCTAGGAAAAGAAAAATACTAAATTACAGTTGGTAGCATCAGGAGTCTTACTGTCATGTAATCCTGACAGATTAGTTATTAAGAGAATTGTGCTCTCTGGCCATCCATATAAGGTAATAGTAATAAATTTGTATATGTACTATGCAGACCTATTCTTACAATGTAAATTGTTATAATGAAGTACTTCTATAATTAAAACTAAGATAATAATAATTAATGAACCTATTTAAAAAAAAAATTTGGAACTTACATTCAAAAATTAACTTCAAAGTTTGTGATGCAGTGTATAAATTATTGTGTTGTTTTTGTTATAGGTACATGAGAGATCAGCAGTCATCAGATTTATGTTCTTCAATAGGGATGATGTGGTATACTTCAAGCCATGTAAATTAAGGACTAAGTATGGCCGCACTGGTCATATAAAAGAGCCTTTAGGTAAATATATTTATTTTAAACTAGAAATAGACCACCAAAACAATTACCCTTTGAGGAAATCACAAACTTTTGGCATATTTTAAACAGTCCCCAACAAATCTTTACGATGTACATTTCAACTTTCATCGTCTTCTATTGGAGTCTCTTGTGTTGTCATATAAAAATACCATTAAAATTTTAGATTTTTCAACAAATTTTCCTCTTAAACCCAGACAATTACAAACCTAATAAAAAAAACAGCCAAGTCGTTGTTCTGTAATACATATGGCAATTGATTTATTTATATAGATGAGTTACCTTATAAATTTTAATTTTATTTTAAGCAATACAAAGACAAACAATGAAACAAAAAAAACAAAAAGACAAAAAATTATAATTCTTTTAATTATTTTAATATCATTCAAGGTACCCACGGACATATGAAATGTGTGTTTGATGGTCAACTGAAATCTCAAGATACAGTACTTCTAAATCTCTACAAGCGTATATTCCCGAAATGGACTTACGAAGACTGCATTGTAACTGATAGAGACAAAAATGAAGCTATGATGGAGTAGCTTTGTATATTTAAATAAACAAAATATAATAAAATATGAGTTTCATTGTTATACTTCTAATAATGTGTACATATAAAAGGTTTTACAAAATATTGTTACAGAAATATGAAGAAGCCCAATAGGTATATATAGTTGTGAAAAATGCGTAATGAATTTAAATTATATATCTAAACTAACGACTCACCCTTGCTCCGCTCGGTTTCGTGTTCGTCCCTAGTTATGTTTTATGTTTAGTATAGATTTTAGTAGAGAGGAGATATTTTCCCGCAGTAAAAATTATCCTATATGTTGACCCGGATAACCAGCTATCATCATACTAAATTTCATCAAAATCTGTCCAGTGGTTTTCTCGTGATACGTTCCCAGACAGACAGACCGATAGACAAAAATTCGGTCTCTGTATCGATAATAATTACTATTTCAATAAGATTTTCCAAAAAAGTTCAACCCTGTTAAATTTTAAAGAAAAAACTGTACATATTACTAATTCATATAGAACAGAAGAGAAATTGGCCTAAACACAATATCTCAATATGATGATTGATGAATTATCTATAAAGATAAACAAAATTAAAATGTCTGTTTGTAATGTCAAAATAATAGCTTTTTACTAAATGAACTTATAAGAAAAACTTTTAAAATTTTTGTCTATGTATGTTTGTTCTGGCTAATTTACGAAACAGTTGGGACTTATTTTGACAAGACTTTCACTGGTAGATAGCTGACGTTATAAGGAGTAACTTAGGCTACTTTTATTTTAGAAAAAGAATTAAGAGTTCTGCTCAAAAAATTAAAATACACCCAACCGAAGCGAGGGTAAATCACTAGTTACCTATAATTCCCTATTTAGTATTTACTACTCACTATCCCGTTAATCAATCAATTAGGCAGTGTTAGCCCAGAGGAAACGCGCTCGCTTGGGAAACCGAGAGTAGCGAGTTCAATTCCCGGGTCTCGCACCTCTGATATTTTCATGTGCGAATCATTTCGAACATGATTACGGTGAAGGAAAACATCGTGAGGAAACCTACATGTCTGAGAGAACCTAGCAAGTTTTTAAAAGACATGTGAAGTCCGCCAACCGGCACTTGGTCAGCGTGGTGGACTATGGCCTGATCCCATAGTATTGAAAGGGGCTTGTGCCCAGCAGTGGGATGTTAAAAAGGCCTGAATATAATACTCCCATTAAATTATATCTATATATTATAAAACATTCAAGTGGAATAAATAAGATTCAGGTGAATAAATAAAAGCCATATAATTTTCACATGTTTACTGACACATGAAGCGCTAGCCTACAGAGGACAGTCCTGCGCCTAACATTAACGGATAATCTCTTGTGAAGGCAGTCTGCGTACGCGATACGTCTACGTGAAGTCTATGATTTACATAAAAGTTACTTTATACTGATATAAAATAATAAAATATAATGTTACTTTATCCGCCAACCCGCACTTGGCCAGCGTGGTGGACTACGGCCTGATCCCCCTCGTACTGAAGGGAGGCCCGTGCCCAGTAGTGGGACGATAAAAAGGGCTGAATACATACTGATATAAATGCGACAAACAAATGAAACTTTCTATAGAAATAGATAGGAATTGACAACCTTATTCTTGAACCACGAGCTATTGAGTGAATTTATTTGTGATTTTGGAATATAGCTAATACTTATTTAGATGTTACACTTTTTATTGTGTTGTACGTATTTCAGTAACTTTTATGTCATCAAATGACCAAATAAAAATACATATATATTTAAAAAAAAATCAATTCGCTTGCTTCGAACACTACACACGTTATCTCGATATTAGTAATCTTAGTATTTTTAAAATGACTTAATATTTTTAAGTAAAATCAGAATAACTTAAACGTCTGTAGTTCTTTTGAAAATAATTTCATAGTAACTTATCCAAACAAACATTTATTATAACTAATAGCCATTTTTTCACAAATTGTCTTTGGTTATTTGAGATGAAAATTTGATAAAAGAACTATCATTTCGTAAGTCACCTTTTAAACGTTAAAAAACAATCAAAAAGTATAATAATATAAGAATGAAACATACAAAAATTTACAGAGTAAATTACTAGCCATTATAAGATTGTACTAATTTAATAAGAAACTACGACTTAAGGCTATTTGGTTTAATAAACGTTCATTTACGAGTATTATAAAATATAATGAATGCAAATACCATTGTACTATTGGTGTCACAATAAGAAAAGTTGAAAAATACAGACATACATAACTTTTATGTCAAATATTAATTGTTTGATCACTGGTTACTCTCAGTAACTTTAAATTTTACATAATAAGTAAAAATAAAAATATCTTGTCGCTATGACTCAAAGTATTTAAAATACGATTGTATACTTAGTTATGATAATTGAGTGTCAATAAAGATATAGGTACATATATATGTATACATATATATTAGGGTGGCACAAAAAACCTTAACTATATTTTTTTCGAGTTTCGTATGAAGACATGTTAGTTTTCATATTTTAAGAGCCCTCTTGAAAGATCGGCTCGAAAAAAAAATTTTTAGGGGTCGCTTAATATTTAAAAAAACACGCTAGGAACCATAAAAAACATGTAGCTTAATAATGTTCATAAATTCCTTATAAAATCAATATTTTAAGCTGTAACTTTGGGGAAGTTACTACTTTTTTAGGTACTAAATTTTGCCGCAGTATGAATAGAGAAAGATTTAAAAAAATAATTAAAACTCTAAAAAAAATTTTTCAAGCTCATCTTTAAAGATCACTCACAAATCATGAAAAACTAACATATTTTCATACGAGACACGAAAAACGTCGTTTCTTTGCGCCATCCTAATGTATTTGAATTATTTAATTTTTCAATTTATAATTTTTAATCCCATGGTTTGTCACTTTATCAAAATATAATTAATAAAATTACTCTCATGATATCTTTAAAAATACTATTACATATTATCTCAGTAAAGAAACTTTATTCAGAAATATTAAAAATGTTTAATAGCAAATGTAATTAATAGAATAAACGAATATTTAAAAAATATGACTTATTTTTTTGAGATTAAATCTAAGCAAACTGCAGACACGCATTAACACTAATAGGGCTGTCGGAAACAAAGAGACCTTATTGTAATTTACATGCATATTTACAAAAATAATTTACTTAATGCTTTTATTTATATTTAAATTTAGATCAAACTTATAAGTAAAAAGTGGCATAAAATAATTAATGAAAAAATATTTCATTCATATATCAAATATAAAAAAGTTTTCGTTGAACAAAATTAACTATAATGGTTTATGGTTGAAATAAAAAAAAACTAAAATAAATGACGTACATATTTATAATGTATATTAATAAATAAATAAATGTTAAAAAAATATCATTAATGTTTTATAGTTGTACGCCTTGGTTTATACCAAATGCAAGATCTCTAAAAAAGAAACTACTATATATCTCTTTGCTTTCGACGTATATCGGTAGCCATGTTCCATTCAATTTATAATTATTTTAAATCTGCTCTCAATCTACGGTAGAATTTTACAGAATATTTATTTTCTTTATTTAAATATAATATATAACTTTATCAAAGGCATGTTTTCACAGATAATATTACGACGGAGCAACGGACTGAGACGCCATCTTGGTTTAAGTGTCACTCGAATTGCGTCCGAGCCAGTTGTGTGGAAGTTGGTTTTTTAAAGGGACTTTTTATGGAGGCAGTTGTTTTTAATTTATATTTTAAGCTTTAGGTTTTTTATTGCGTCGCTTTTTCGCGTCCGCTTCGTTTGGCGGCGGCTTGGAGCTTGACGTATTGTGTGACGCGCCAGACTTGCTGTACAAGTTGTTGAGAAATTCTTCGAGATTAGGATCGTGACTGAAACGTTAGAAGAGTTTCATGATTTACACAAAAAATGGAATTTTAGTAGAATAACAAAATGGCGTAATAGCAAATGGTCTTTTTAGGAAAACAAAAAAATAATAAATATCATAGATAGCGTTATGTTTGTGTAAAATTAAGAAAAAAATACATATACATATTAATTAAAAAAAATACCATATGCTTATACAGCAATAATCATTCTGCACTTAATTAAACAAACTTTAGGGACATTAAATAGTTTTCAACCATGCTAAACAATTCATTTAAAGTAAACAGTGCCATCTGTGAATACGCACTTTAAACTCTCTGTTTTAATTTAATTTTTCTTTACTTAACTATAAAAACATTAATACACCTTTTTGGGATATGTTTTTATCTTTTGTTAATTTTACAGAAACTTACTAAGAAGACTAAGAAAACGATACGTGTAATGCCATCTATTGCAATTTATTAGAACTAGTTTATCTTTGTAGATGTGACTGTAAGCTAATATGATATTGTGTATGGTGTATGTACGGCGGTAATTAAATCAAATCAAAATATACTTTATTCAAATAGACTCTTACAAGCTCTTTTGAATTGTCCATTTTACATTTTAAATTTAAATTAAATGTCAGTGTAGTGAGTCCGTGAGGAGTTTCAACAGTTGCTCTTTTAAAATAATAATTGTGTAAAATATTGTAATACAATAATTATGTACATATTTATCCCACGTGAGACCCAACCAGACATTAGTTCCACACATTGATATCTACGAAGTATTCCGTGACAGTATAATAAGCCTTTTTAGTATGGCAACAGAGGCTACCATATCTTTTGTGTCGACACAGCCTAATTTAAACTGAGCTTAAAAAAACTAAGATATTCCGTATAATAATATATGTATGTTTGTTTTTGTATGTAATATTGTTTAGTGTTTTATTGTTCAATAAATATTATTATTATTAAAAATTAAATAGTAGTTACCCGGTGGAGGGACGGTGCGCGTCGTTGGCGGCCGCCTTGTTGCCGAGCACAATGCGGTACTGCACCACGTGACAGTCCGGCCGCAGTTGTTTCAGGTTTTTTTTCTAAATACACAAACATTAAATTAACCAAGGATATAATTAAGTTAAGAGTTGATAACTACAGAACTCCTAGTTTAAATCTGATTTTATTTGTTTAAATTATAAAGCTTTATAAATAAATATTTTAAGACGGTCTCATTGTTTTAAAATGTAGCCTTTTTAGTAAGTTGGGGTTTTTATTGATTACCATAAAAATACGTAGTTTAATAACGTACAATACGTGCAATCTAAGTTTACAGGACTGAACTTAGTATTGTCAAGGATGAGTAATCTTAAAGAGTCAGAGACTGAATTATCCCGGAAACAGTACATCAAACATATTATAAACTAACATTGCCCGCCGCTCCGCCCGCGCTCATGATTGATGACATGATGACCAAAAACCAAATTATTAGGTTTTACATATTAGTATACTCTTACATTGCAGTTTTTGTATTTTTTCTCAAAAATGAGATATTTTCCCGCGGTAAAAAGTATCCTATATGTTGACCCGTAAAACCAGCTATCATCATACCAAAATTCATCAAAATCCCTTCAGTGGTATTTTCGTGATGCGGTAACAGACAGACAGACAGACAAAAATTCTAAAAACTATAGATTCGGCATCTGTATCGACAATAATGTCTATTTCAATAAGATTTTCTAAAAAATATTTAATGTACAGATTCGGCTTAGTTACAATTTTATTAAATGTATAGATAGTAAAAACAAACATAGTTTCTTAGTACCATTAAAAAATAATAGAAATATTTTTTTCCAGAAGTAATTAATTACCAAGAACTCTGGACTTCATTGAAATTGGATATGTTGGGACATTAACACACAGCACCATCTAGTTCCATGGTAAGCTACGAACCTAGTGTTATGGATACCATATAGTTGATACACACATATATAACTTTAAATACATACATATTATAAATATAAACATTCATGACTGGAGAGCAAACATTCGTGCTCATCACACAAATGAATGCCCCCAGTGAGACTCGAACCTGTGACCGCGAATTGCGATCGTGTCGTCAAATATCATGCAAAGTGAGATTTAAGTCAAAAGTAATAAAACTTCTTAAAAAAAATAGTTTAGCGGGTTTTGGGGTCGAAATCTTGGTTTTGGGGGTCAACCTCTTAGAGATCTAGGGGGAGGCTATGGACCCGCGCTTGTTAATAGTGATGTACCTGACAGCTGGCCCACTGCGTGATCTGGTACACGGCGCCGTCCATGCACGCGTAGTACATCACCAGCAGCCCCATCATGCTGGACTCCGCCCAGATGTCGCCCTGCAAGTGTTAATATTAAATTGAAACATTAAAGTAATATAATGACTGTTGTTTATTTATTTAAAAAAAATATCTATCACTTGTGATTGTGCTTAATTATCGGATAGTTACGAAAGTTTGAACATATGTGTGTCACGCTGAAACGACTGGATGGAAGAAGGAAACTGGAGAAATCGGATGAAATCTATACAGATAGAATTGAAGTGTCTGTATGTAATGACAAAATAACAGCGTTTTACTAAGTGCATATGAAATTATATACGGTATTTATAAGAAAAACACATTTTTTTATTTGTCTGTATGTCTGTTTGTTCCGGTTAATCTGTGAAACGACTGGACTGATTTTGACGGGACTTTCACTGGAAGATAGCTGATACTATAGGGAGTTACATAGGCTACTTTTCTTATAGAAAAAGAATTAGGGTTCCGCTCAAAAAAATTAAAACGCGAGTGAAGCGAGGGTGAGTCGCTAGTATATTAATAATAATATAAGCACAAATCGTACCTCCTTGGCGGAGTGCCGTATCTTGCACTGCGCGCAGTAGCGCGCGGCGTAGCACGGCCGCTCCGTCGCCACGCGCTTGTGGCGCCGCCCGCAGTTCGTGCAGCTGTGGGCGCCGTACACTCATAAGTCGTATCACACAACCGATTCAAGCAAAAATGTTTTTAAAAGAATGAGAATATAATAAAAAATTAAAGAGCGCGTGTATGAATGTGTACACGCGCAAGAAGTAAAACTTCTGTAGGTTATCGGTACTTTTTATGAAATTCAATTTATGTTTTAAATAATTAGGATAGGTGAGATACTAAAAATAGCGCATATTACAATTATATATTTATAGAATATCATTTAAGGAGAGAATATAATATTACATATCATTTGGCGAACAATAACAATGGTTACCACGGCAACAATATACAAATTTCAAATAATGAAAAACAAAATAAAATTTTCGTAACGCATTCACCAGCTTACCCCCCAAGTCAAGTTTGCGTACAGACGTTTACTTTAATAAGTCTTTGATATACAAAAACTCAAGATACAGAATAAGCGTCTCAAAAGTGTCCTGAAAAAAGTGCATCATTCGAATTTGAATTACGCTTTTTTCATATCTCTGTTTTCATTGCTTTTCGGACAAAATTAAAACGCAAAAAATTAAAAAGGTACTTCATGTGGTGTGCGTAAGTTCGAATTTGTGTTTAGACAATTGAACCTTTCGTTTACCGGTTAATTTCGATCAAGGAACCTTAATTCGTCAAAAACCATTTTCCGGGTTTTAACCGGTTAAAGAACTTACGTTCTTTAACGCAATCTTAAACCGAAAAGCCTTTCGGTTTGGAGTTAATGACCAAAACCGGTTCAAAAATTGAAAAGGTTGCCGAATCCTGTTATAAAAACAAACAAAAACATTTCATGTGTTATCCTTTAAGTGCATCAACATACCGTATAGTATTAGCAGCGAACTCCATCTTGTCGTGCAACTGAGCCAGCAGCACACTGAGCTCGCCCCACGCCGCTTCCGCGTGTCGAGATTCCCGCGCGCGGCGCTCGTACGCCTCGCGACGCTCCTGCTCACAAATAAACATCTTAGCTATTCATAAATTACGTAAGGATGATTTTGACGATTTTTGAAATGTTAGATTCGGGATTTGAACCCGTTTCACTTGGTTTCCAAGAAAGACGCTACTAGTGGGTAACCACAACACTACTTAAAAGTTAAAATAGTTAATCTGTAATTTGACTAGTTTTAAAAGCACGTGAGAATTCCGTCAACCTAGATTCCTCCAGCGTAGTGGACAATGGGCTTCCTCTAGATATAAAGGATGATCCATATCTAGCAGTGGGACGTTGAAATGGCCGAATAATCCCAATTTTTATCGTTATACGTTTTACCCCCATACATCAAGACACGTAAATTAGTGCCTGAAATTCGTCATTTTTGGTTAGTAGTAGTTATTAGTACTGGTATCAAGACGAATCTAATTATAAAAATCGGTAAAGTAGTTTAGTAATAACAAGGGAACACACGCATGTTAGATATAAATAAAAAAAAAAACGTTTTCTCTCACCGGCTCCCCAATAAGATCAAATGCGTGTTGCAGAATCTTGAAGGCCTCTTCAGCCCCGGGCTGTTGGTTCTTGTCGGGGTGGACGAGGAACGCCTGTCTGCGGTAGTAGCGCTTGATCTCTTCATCTGTACACGTTACACTCACACCTAGAATGCTGTAGATTAGAATTTATGTACATTTAAACTATTCTATCTATTTACTGTACTAATTAATATTTAAGTTGTAGACAGTCTTAACAGGAAAGACAATTTAGTTCAAATAAATATCAATAGATAGTGGTATATATAAATAATTACCTCAGAAAGGTTTATTCTGAAATTAAAAAGTACTTCAAGCAAAGGAATATATAATACTAGCATTGCCCGCGGCTCCGCCCGCGTTCAGATGACCAAAAACTAAATTCTTAGGTGTTACATATTAGTATACTCTTACATTGCAGTTTTTGTATTTTTCCTCAGAAATAAGATATTTTCCCGCGGTAAAAAGTATCCTAGGATCGCGCGCTACATCGCCCGGTTTATATAGCTTGAGCAGGCGGTCGAGCGATGCGGGGCAGAGGGGATGGACTCGCCGTAGGCATCTCAATGCTCGCCAAGCATTAAAAATGTTTCGCTACTAATTACTTCTAACAACGATATCTCAAAAACTATTCATCTGATTGATTTAGTGTAAAGAGCAATTTTAATCTGCATTAAATGACTAAGCTAACTAAAATATTCATTTGGATAAGGATTAATACCGAACTAAAGAAAATAACTTTGAAAATAACGTAATGTTTTTAATTAAAAATGTTAACATAAAAGTGGTTATTGTAAGTCAACCGTAAGAGATAGAGATATGCTATCGCGGACTTTTTTGTAGCATTTTTATAGATTTTGAATTCTCTAGTACATTACTTAACTGTATCTTTGCTAGTTTACGCGGCGTTCGCGTGGAAAGTTCCCATTTGGCGAGATTTTTTGCGACCTCTTCAACATTTGTCGCCGTATTTCAGCTAATTTACATAAAAGCATAATAAATTATATACCTAAACCTTCCTCAAGAATTACTCTTTCTATTGTTGAAAACCGTATAAAAATCCGTTCAGTAGTTTTCGAGTTTATCGCGTACAGACAGACAGGAGGACAGAAAGACGCGGCCGGGGGACTTATTTTTATAATAAGTACTAGCATTGCCCGCGGCTCCGCCCGCGTTCAGATGACCAAAAACTAAATTCTTAGGTGTTACATATTAGTATACTCTTACATTGCAGTTTTTGTATTTTTCCTCAGAAATAAGATATTTTCCCGCGGTAAAAAGTATCCTAGGATCGCGCGCTACATCGCCCGGTTTATATAGCTTGAGCAGGCGGTCGAGCGATGCGGGGCAGAGGGGATGGACTCGCCGTAGGCATCTCAATGCTCGCCAAGCATTAAAAATGTTTCGCTACTAATTACTTCTAACAACGATATCTCAAAAACTATTCATCTGATTGATTTAGTGTAAAGAGCAATTTTAATCTGCATTAAATGACTAAGCTAACTAAAATATTCATTTGGATAAGGATTAATACCGAACTAAAGAAAATAACTTTGAAAATAACGTAATGTTTTTAATTAAAAATGTTAACATAAAAGTGGTTATTGTAAGTCAACCGTAAGAGATAGAGATATGCTATCGCGGACTTTTTTGTAGCATTTTTATAGATTTTGAATTCTCTAGTACATTACTTAACTGTATCTTTGCTAGTTTACGCGGCGTTCGCGTGGAAAGTTCCCATTTGGCGAGATTTTTTGCGACCTCTTCAACATTTGTCGCCGTATTTCAGCTAATTTACATAAAAGCATAATAAATTATATACCTAAACCTTCCTCAAGAATTACTCTTTCTATTGTTGAAAACCGTATAAAAATCCGTTCAGTAGTTTTCGAGTTTATCGCGTACAGACAGACAGGAGGACAAAAAGACGCGGCCGGGGGACTTATTTTTATAATAAGTATAGATGGATCGTTCTTAAACCAAACTGTAATTTTTGAGAAATCTGTAATTTGATTATAAAAATAGATGGCGCTGTTTGTATTTTACGATTTGTTAACCCCCGACGCCAAAACGACGGGGTGTTATAAGTTTGACAGGTCTGTGTGTGTGTATGTGTCTGTCTGTGACATCATAGCTTCCAAACGGATGAACCGATTTTGATATTATTTTGTTGAAAGGTGAATTAGTCGGGAGTGTTCTTACAATAGGTATGTTTGACAAAAAGGTCCAAGATGTTCGTTTTTTTTTTAATTTTTATTTATAGTTAAAATTGGCTCGGAATACCATTTAAATTATAAAGAAAAACAATTATTTACAGTACGATCGTTACAATCGTTAAGGATAAAGGCACTGAAATATGATAAATTAAATGCAAAATTAATTTTGCCTTAATTAACATATTTTAGTAGATACGTACATTACTAAAAAAACATATTGTGATGTGTAACATCTGGCATCTCACCTAATTATGTTTATTTTACTCTAATGAGACTATTAACTTAAATTTGCTATTGGATTTTTTATTGTAATCTAATTAGACTGCCTAAACTAAATTTAAGAGAATTTTGAATGTTGTTAGATTTTTTCTATAATAACCTTGACCTTGAGTGATTTTTTTATTTTATACAATAGCTTACAACCTCATATAATTGTAAAAAATTTCGAGCTCCAAAAAACTAAAATATATATTTAAAAAAAAAAAACAATTTTATAAAATATCACACCGATACAGATACTTTAAACGCCTGCCATTTCGCACGCTTGGCGGTTCAACGTTAAAGTATAATATAACAGAATTATTGTTGCCAATATATCGCTAAAAATGACGTCTTTTTCTTAGGCAAATAAAAAGCTATATCATTCTTTGATGTCACATTCGATCTGACCAATGGCGTTGCGTCACAACTACATACTTTGAATTTCCAACCCATATATTTTGCTCTTTTTAATAATTATTTTCTTAATCAAAACGAAATAACAACAAAAAACAGTTAATATATTCGCTTTATTCAAAAGCAATAAAGAGTATAAAAAATATTTCACCTTTATTTAAATCACACACATATTCCCTATTACGTAAGTTGACAATAAGAATTTTTGTATGTTGAGATATTTCAATAATTGCAGTCTTAAAAAATAGGTTTAGGTCTAGAACTAATATTCCAATTGGAATTATAAAAATCGAATAACCCGTTTAGAAGATATGAGCAAAATTGTAAAAGAGAAATGTAAAAATCGGGTTGCATAAAATAACAGTCCGCCATCATTGAGAGTCCTCCATATTGGATTTACAATGACGTCACTTTGCTTATTGTGTTTCGCTCATTAAGCCCTTTCATTTGATATCCATATCGTGGGTGTGCATAAAAAAAACAGTCCGCCATTTTTGGGAGTCGGCCATATTGGGTTTATACTTTTTACCATCTGACGGCTAACTCTACCACCACGGCGCTCATTGGTCAATTCAAATAGCGCGCGTTTCCCCGGCTTCTTGTGACACATTTCAGTTACTTTTCACGAAATCACTCCCATAGATTGCAGGAAAGCGAGAGGAAAGATGTTACACAACAAAAAAATAATGTGTTAGTTTGCCATCTATCGTCTAAAAAACATTTAAGTAACAAAAATAACTCGAATTAGTGCCTTCCATTTTCTGTATGGAATAGGACATCCATATTAATATAGTAGGTACCTATTGCGTCATTTGTGGTTAAATAACCTATGGGCTAAAATATCTAATTACTATTTTGGAATGCTAAGCTAGCCTTAAGCAATACTACGCTGTACAGTCGTTATAACAATGTCTTTTTAACACGCTCTTATTGGCTTCACTTGGAACTAATTGACTTTGTAATTAAATCTTGGAAGTCGATTTTAATCCACTTGTAATAGTCGAACCGATTTAAAATTAGATTTGATGTAATTTGATTTATATATTACTAGCGGCTCACAATCGCTTCGCTCGGATTCGCCTTTAGGAAAAAAAAAACAAACTCATCCCACGGGAACCGTACATTTTTCCGGGATAAAAAGTAGCCATGAGTTACTCCAGACTATAATCTATCTCTGAGCCAAATTTCATTTAGATCCGTTCAGTCGTTCTGTCGTGAAAGAGTAACAAACATCCATACGTCCATACTCACAAACTTTCACATTTATAATATTAAATACAGATTTGATGATGAACTGAAGAGAATGGTTAGTATTTACTAGCTATCTTTTTAGTCTAATTTGATGAGTCCTATTGATTCTAGTTTATACAAGTGTGTTTTATTAGGTTTTGAAACCATTATTATTGTTTAAATTTTATTTATATTATTACATATTTGAATAAAGTAAAATGTTAGTAGGCTTTTGCTGAAGTTTTTACTAAAGAGTGCATTTATTTTTAATTTAATTCAATATTCATCGGTTTTAAGATGTTTTTTAAATGTCATCAATTTTCTTTACCGAATAGAAAAAAATATGGGCTAATTTTATCATAAATAAATATTGCATGGTTCATTCAACATTCTGATAATACATATTTCACTTATCCACGGCCTCGGTAAGAATCAACGCGAAAATAAAATAGTTTAAGTTTATTCAGGTGTAACAAATAATATAAAATATTGAATAAAAATAATAAGAAATATCAGTCAACTGCACTATTTGAATTATATTCATAAAATTCCACAGCACACTTTATGTAGATTTTTTCAAGTGGGCGTGAATGGCGAAATTTGAAAGTATGTATATGGTAGAGTTAAAATTAACGTAAAATTATAATGTTCGTTGATTATTATAATTGATCATTGGACAATACAGTTTCATCAATAAAGGTAAAATCATGATATTTAATAAAAATCCGAGACTTATTATAACATAACCTAGATAATTATTATAAATCGATAACACCAGCTTCGTAGCTTACCATGGAACTAGATGGTGCTGTGTGTTAATATTCCAAAAAAAAAAAACTCAATTCAATTCAATTTGTTTGGCTTCAAAATATGACAGTTGAGTAACAATACTTTACCAATGTCTTAAAGAATGGTAGAACGTAAAACAAGTAAACAAAATACATAGAATGTAAGTCCAATGACGAATCTGTACATGAAATATTTTTTTTTGAAAATTGAAATAGTCATTATTATTGGTACAGAGGCCGAATCTACAGTTTTTAGAATTTTTGTCTGTCTGTCTGTGATCGCATCATGAGAAAGCCACGACAGATTTTAATGAAATTTGGTATGACGATACCTGGTTATACCTGTCAACATATATACTACTATACTATTATGATATATTAGATTGATACTTTTTACAGTGGGAAAATATCTCATCTCTGAGAAATCTATACTAAACATTAAAACGTAAAAATTATCAATTAAATTACATTAACATAATAATTATCAAAACAATGACAATTATCAGCAAACCATAGTATATATTATGTATACTAAGTATAATATATATTAGTAAGAGTGTATGCTATAGAATTTTAATAAAAACAATACCTATATGGATCTTTTCCTTTGCAAGCAAGTAACCGTTTCATAGCCTCCTCCCCAGTAGCGGGCAGCGATATATTCGAGTTGAGCTTTGATTCATTGCCAGCATCCAATTCGGTTTCTATTAAAATACAATAACTCTTGATATTAATATGAAAAAAGTGTCATTATAATAAATATTAATAATTTACATGTATTGGATGTAACATACAAGTATGTTTTTATTTAAGAGTTTATTTCATTTACTATTCCTCAATATATATTTTTTTAATATTTGAAATGTTTAAGGTCTATTTCTTTTGAGGGCAGAAGGTCAAAGTTCCATATACTTTAAACTATTATCTCAGAAATTAACAATAACATAATTAAATACAAATCTGAAATAACTTTTGATCGCTACAGTAATTATCAATTATAATACAAAAATAAATAAGTACTATTTTATGTAGCAAAAGTTTCTTTTATTCAGTGTAATTTTGTTGAAATAAAATGTGAGCCATTTAACTAACATTCATAGAACTCATTCCAATTCAATTCAATTTGTAAGTGGCTTCAAAGTATGACAGTTGAGCAACATTACTTTTCCAATATCATACACAGAATGGTAGAACGTAAAACTAGTAAACAAAATAATTCAATGGGCTGTTAGATGCATAAACTCTTCATAGTCTAAAGTTACCCTTATATCTTAATTTTACATAATACATATTTAAGTATACAAATTGTTTTAACTTTTCTAACCTTTTTTAAACCATTTCAATCTCCTCCAGAAAGCAAACTGAGTGTGTCCAAATTTTCTATCAATGTACATTAAGTATTTGTTTTCACCGAGTTTCGAGAGCCATTCCTTAGTGCTACGCCACACTGCTTGGGAACTCACATATGTTTGGGTAAACACAGACGTACACCTGTAATTCGATGTAGAATTAATTTAATAATTTTGATGCCAACATTTACATAGCAACAGGGTTTACTGATAATTATTACGTCATTTCTATTTTGATTAATTTTAAAATGATCAGTTTATAATTTTATGTGCAATGAATATAAAGATTCTTTTTTATTTTTTAACAAATTTTGTTCAAAACATTGGAAATTTACAATTGGTAAATGTGAATTACAAAAATTGATAATGATAAATATCAGATTTTTAAACTTACATAGATATGAAGAATATGAATTCTTTGATTTAAATAAGTGAAATAATATATGAATAATTTGTTTTTTCTCATCAGTATGTATCATGATTCCTCAAAATGTGATTTATTGAGTAGGTAGTATATAGTTGAACAAAAAAATTTGTTTTAAAAAATCCAGCTTATGTTGTGAACATAATTATAGAAAAAAAACCCTAAATACTTTAGTATTATAAAAATACTACCTTAAAACAGCAAAGTTTACTTGGTTCTATATGTATAATAGATCTTAGTGTGTCTGTGTTTATTAAGGTGTTTACAAGGCAATAGCAATAAGTACCTAAAATTCATGAAAAGTGATTATGCTACATGGATAACTTAAAAAAATTTATTGATACATAATAACAATACACTATAAAAGTAGCTTTTATAATTAGAAATAAATTTTATAATACAAGATGAAATATTTTTTTTTGAAAAACTCCTGACAGTCAAAAATGGTTCAGCCGATTTGGATGAAACATAGCTAAGAAAGATCTTAGTTAAGCCAGCTTCAATAAAAAACAACTGGTATTGAAACCTGTCCATCCCTTAGATATCCCTGTAGATGCCACAGACAGATGTATCATAGACACACACATGAAACTATAAGATCCCTCTTTTACATTAGGGGTTAATTAAGTAAAAGTTAAATTGACATAATTTATGTCTCTTTTTCAGAAGTTTGATTCAATTTATTATAGTACTAAGGATTTTATATTTAAGAAAATTATACAAACTTACAAATCAAACGAAAGATGGAGACTCATTCTACAGATATCAGAAAGCAAATAGAGGAACCAAACTATTGCCTTCCAAGATGCTCCTCCCCAATGTTCCAAGTAACCTTGAACTAAACCCATATACCCAGGCTTGTTTTTTCTCAACTTAGTTTGGTTAACTTTCTTCTTATCTTGAAGTGATTTAGAAATTTTGTGATGATTTCTCTCTTTCTTTTTTCTTACCTTCATACTATCATTCTGACCTTCTTGAAGTATGAATTGTGAATTCATATCATCATCTTCAACCTTAAAAGAATCATCTTCATCTGCACTTTTATCATCATGTTTGGGCTTATCATGCTTTTTTTCTTTTTTCAGAGATTTTTCTGAATCATTTTTTATAAATACAAATTGGCTTTCATTTTCTTGATTAAAATTTCCTTCTTCATTAGCTATGTCATCAAGTGATGACCATTTTCGAGACATGTTGTTTCGTTTGTTCTTTGACCTTTTATTTGTTTTTTGATATTTCTCAGTATCATCAGTATTAATATCTCCAGACTCACTGCCAGAAGAAATGGTATTAGTATGAGTTTTTTTTTCATTTTTTAATTTTTCTTCATTTATATGCTTTATATTACTTAATTTTTCTGGTTTCAGAGTAGGTTTATTGGGTGTTTTATTTTCAATATTATTTTGTGATTTAACTTTCTTTGTAGATTCTGACTGAGGACTTTTAGAATTTTTTGCTAAGACATCAGAGTAAGTTGGTCTCATTGGCTTCACTTCAGCTACTATACGCTTTTTATTACTTGTGTCAGAAAGAGGAACATTTTCATTTCTTTTTGGTGAATTTTCTGGTTTTATTTGAGTCATTATTGGTTCTACTGTAGGTATATTAGTGGAAATAGTAGGAGCATCTGGGTGATTCAAAGGATAATTTTGACCAAATGGAGAATAAGTACCCGAAGAATTTGGTTCCCAATTACCTAGTACTTCTTTTAAAAAATTGGATGTTTGCATATTTGATGTTTGATTTCCATTTTCTGAGTTATAAGAACTAGGTTGTATTGTAGCTGTAGATGGTGAAACATGAACATTGTTGTTTGAAGTAAATTCTTGATTTAAAGTAAATAAGTGAGATGGCTGAGACTGCAAAGGCACATCACACAAATTTTGGTTGTGATTAAATAATTCATACTGACCAGACATAGGGAATATTAGTTGCTGGTTATTTTCATCATAAAACACTCTGACTACTTGGCCATTTCCTAAGTTAAGCATAGCATTGCCATAATTTTGACGGTTCATACGATTTACATTCGGCATGGTGTTAAAAGACATTTTTTCTTCTTTATTTGGGCCAATATCTCCATTCTGCACGTTGAAGGGCTTGTTAATATAAACATCATTGGTGAAATTTGCTCTTCCATATAAGTTTTCAGGTAAAACTCCAGAGTTACCTGACATAGATGCTTGTTTAATCTCATTTATTCCACCGGGTGCACAGTTTTCGCCGGTGTCCGCATGATAATTCCATGTATTGTCATTAAATATTGGATCATCCTTTGACGACGCCATTATGACTAATAATTACTTAACACAAACAATATAGTTACGTCAACATTAAATTTAATATTAGACTGAAGATTTAGCATTACTCTAGTTCATATTTTGAGTTCAAAAAATAAAACATTGAAGCGTTTAAATGTGTTTCTGGGATTTTTGACAATGTACTATTTTCGTTGACACTTCCATTGACCGTAATACAGATTATACATGTAATGATATTAATGTCAAGGAAGCAGATTATATAAAAAATATATAGTCAGCTAAGGTAACTTTGACGATTTTACTTTTTTGCATTTTCATTAAGAAAAAAATATAAAATCAAAATATACTTTATTTAACTCGTGGAGGGATTAAATCATTGAAAATGTTGTATGAAGACACCTCGAACAAGCCAGTTATTGGGTTTTCCCTTGATAAAAAGAGATTTTTCTGTAGTAAAAGATAAAATATCTTGTTGACCCGATTAATAAGTTATTTATAGCTACACAAAATATAGTTAAAATTCATTCAGTAATTTAGCGTAAAAAGCAAACAGATAAGTAAAAATTTCAACAACCATTGTTTTGGAGATCTAAATTCTGTGTACAATACACATATATAATTGTTTTTTAAAAATATTTCAGGTACAGATTTCGCTTTATTAATATTTTGAACGAAAAAAGGAGCATGTTCTCAATTCGACTCGTACATTTTTGTATTTTTGTTTGACCACGCGTAACTTTTTACAGTGTGTCCGATTTAGATTATTCTATTTTTAGTGGATAAGGTTTGCCTCAAAGTTGGTCCCGGTGATGGTTAGAGACAATAAAAGACATCATTTTTTTCAGTACCTGAAACTTTATCTATATACTTTGTATATTTTTATATTCAGGACTTTTATAATCGTCAGTGAGTTACATAATTTATAACCATAATTTTCAGTATTACAAACAATTCGTGACTGGTCACTACAGGGTGGTACCGACATCTCTGTGCAAAAGCGCGGGAAAACAAATGAATATACCTACACGCCCTTTTTTTTAAGCACATTCCTATCGGCCAAGGTCACATAACTAAATGCCTTTTACATAAATCATTAGAAATTAATCAAATATATTATTTTTTTCATTAAAATGCTTAATATATAAAAATGCAACCTTCCTACTATGTAAATGAAATAATTACATCAAGGTGTAAAAAAAATTTTTTCGCTTCGCTTACCACAAAAAGTTTTGTTATAACGTGATGTGATTTTATAATTTGCAGTAAAATTTTTTTATCCTATTATACACCTAAATTAAGTCAAATATTTTTTGTGCAATTTGACGTTGAACGTTTATAATGCAAGGTGAACCGATATCGGCATCAAAATCAAGACGGTTGATGTAACTTTACACAAACAATTTTTTATTACTTAACTTTAAAACTTACCCAACTCTAGTCTAGTGCTGCAATGTAAATATTTTATAGAATACTTAGGTTTTCATGGAATATATAGGTGCCAGGTAGGTAGGAATGCGATAATTTCCCGCGGTAAAAAGTAGGCTATGTCATTCTGCAGTCCTCCAACTATCTCTATACAAAAAATCACGCCAATCTGTCAGTCTGTTTCGAGGCCAAAGAAGGACAAACAAACAGACAAACATAGAAATGGATACATTGTACCTATATCCTTATTAAATCTAAAGTTCTAAGTTGAACTCTTTGACTTGCAAATTCAGTCCTTTAGAAAGAGAGGTAACGGTTTCCCGGTAATTAATTATAATATAACAATAATGAGAATACGCACTTGCAGCTCAGAGGTAACGCGCTTGCTTGAAAAACCAAGTGAAGGTTTCAATCCTCGCACTTCTCAGAAATGCGATTGTTTAATATTTTCAACTATGATTACCTTGTCTTAAGGTGAAGGACAACATCCTTACTAGTTTCTGAAAGGTGTATAAAGCTTGCATGCCTGCATTTGATTAGCGCCGAAAAGTAAGGTTCGGCTGTAAAAGGTGAAAAGAGTTGAATTACCTACTATACTTACTATTTTATATAATACTAGCATTGCCCGCGGCTCCGCCCGCGTTCAGATGACCAAAAACCAAATTCTTAGGTTTTACATATTACTCTTTTATTGCAGTTTTATTGCAGTTACTCTTTTATTGCAGTTTTTGTATTTTTTCTCAATGAGATATTTTCCCGCGGTAAAAAGTATGTTATATGTTGACTCGAATAACCAACTATCACCATACCAAATTTCATCAAAATCTCCAGTGGTTTTTCTGTGATGCGGTAGCAGACAGACAAAAATTCTAAAAACTCTAGTTTCGGCCTCTGTATCGATAATAATGTTTATTTCGTTATGATTTTCCAAAAAATATTTAATGTACAGATTCGGCTTAATTACAATTTTATTATAGGTATGTATAGATTATATATTATTTATATACTTCATCGCTTCTTTGATATAATTGTTAACACGGTGGTCCCTATATGTCCCTATATGACAAGCTGGTAAATAAAAGAAAAATAATTCTTACTGAACGTGAACATTACAATATTTTACAATGAAAACAAGTCTTATTGTGGTCGGTTAAAATGTTATTGTTTCTTGAAATAATGACTTAAATGACTATAAAATAGTAATAATATGACATTCTATTACATTTATCTATTGCATTCGCGTTTATTTAATTACTTCTACGTGTACTCAATTTTTTTAAAGTGTAAAACGTAAAATTGATCAATTTCACCGTAGCGCAAGAGTTAGTGGACGATTTATACAAAGTGTTATTCGGCTGGCCATTATTTTTTTCAAATAAACTCAAAAACTAGTATTGTAGATCTGTTAGTGGTTAGTCTGTATATCTAGAATAATATTTAAATGTTTGAACATAACTAATGAGGCCTTCATGAGATCCTGGAATAGTATAAAATAGGTTAGTTATATTAATAGCAGGTTCATATGTATAAGTTCTAAGTAATGTTTGTTAAAGTGAGATATTGCAGTCAGGCTGTTAGGTTTTGGTCAATGTGTGCATACAGATTTTATTAATTGAAAGTATCAAATTGAAAATGTTTGTGTAAATTCTTACAGCTCTTAGATGTTGAGTAATCATTGCGGTGCCCGTGCTTAGGTGGTAGGTAGGTAACAAGGTCGCAATATTCAGAGCATTATAAAGACGGTATTGGTTATAAGAGAAGTTGTTGAATTTCTTGGCGGCAAGTGTAATGTTAATTTTAACGATAATAGTGGCTGTTGCGGCGGCAACGGAAATAGATCCCGCCGCACAACAAATTATTTTATTCAAGGAAAAAACGTCCGTAAGTAAAATTTTATTTTATGTAGATAATTGTCACAAGCAAACTTCTTTATAAGGTGGAATTGTGTTAATATTAACTATTTTATATAATCATATTATTTGACAGATTTTAGAGTAGATTTAAATGGAATATCTTTTATATACATATACTAGCGATTCACCCTCGCTCCTAGCCTAGTTACTTAAAAAATGGAGGGTGGAGGTAGGAGGGTGAAAAATATTTTACGAACAATTCTTATACCTACCAAATATATAAAAAAAACATTAAAATCGGTCGAGTCGTTTCGGAGGAGTTTTGTTACAAACACTGTGACACGGGAATTTTATATATTAGAGATAGATTAGATTTCTTAAAGTCAATGATTAGTCATTATGGTTTCTTGTCTATTTATTAATAAGGTACTGTATTAATATATTAGATTCATTAATGCATACTTTTTTAGGGTCCCGTCGGTATATTAACCACTAGCGCAGGAGCTCCAGTTGAACGTGATGAAGCTTTAAATACTTTAAACACCAGGCTGATTTTCAATGAATATTTTATGGATACGATGACTCATCTTGTACGTGAAAGAATTCCCGAAAGATTAGTACATGCCAAAGCAGGAGGAGCATTTGGATATTTTGAAGTAACACATGATATAACACATATTTGTAAAGCAAAATTGTTTAGTAAAATAGGAAAGAGAACACCTGTCGCAGCTAGATTTTCCCCAGTAGTTGTAGAGAGAGGTGGCAGTGACACATCTCGAGATGCTCGTGGGTTTGCTGTCAAATTTTACACAGAAGATGGTAACTTCGATATTGTTGGATTTAATACACCTATGTATGTGTACAATGACGCGCGTCTCTTCCCAACTTTCGTTCGTGCTCAGAAAAAGAATCCAGCAACAAATCTTTTTGACGGCAACACTTTTTGGGACTTTTTAACGTTGCAACCTGAAAGTTTACATATGTTTTTATTAGTGTTTGGTGATCGAGGAATACCGAATGGATATCGTCATATGCCGGGATTCGGAATTCATACGTACCAAGTGGTAAACGAACATGGTGATATTTACTTTGTGCGTTTTCACTTTACACCTGACGCTGGAATTAAAAATTTAAGAGCTGAACAGGCAAGGCAAATTGGTGCTGAAGATCCGGATTATAACACACGAGACTTATATAGAGCTATTGGAAAAGGTGACTTTCCTTCGTGGACGGTTAGTATTCAAGTACTAACTCTCGATGATGTAAAAAATAGTGAAATAAATGTGTTTGATGTAACAAATACAATTCCTTTAGATGAATTCCCATTACACCCAGTTGGAAAATTTGTATTGAATAAAAACGCAGTTAATTATTTCGCTGAGATTGAGCAGCTAGCTTTCAGTCCTGCTAATTTGGTTCCAGGGATCTTAGGGGCGCCGGACAAAGTTTTTGAAGCGCGTCGCTTGGCATACAGAGATGCTCAATATTATCGTTTGGGGGCCAATTTTAATAGAATACCTGTGAACTGCCCATTCCAGACTTCCACATTTACTTATAATAGAGATGGTCGGCCACCATTAAAAGATAACGAGAAAGATATTCCTAATTATTTTCCTAACTCTTTCAATGGTCCTGTTCCTTACATTGATAAGAAAAAGTCTGAGTTAATTGAAATTATGGAATATGAGCCAAATAATTTCAAACAAGCAACTGAATTATATGTAAATGAGATGACAAGTGAAGAAAGGAGTAGGTTAGTCGAAAATGTTCTATACAGCTTGGGTCCTGCGGCTTCGTGGTTGCAAAAGAAGGCAGTAAAATTTTTTTCAATCATACATCCAGATCTTGGTTACCGAATAGAACAAGGGCTACTCGCAAATGTTACCAAAAACTACGATATATAATAAATTGAACACAAGGAATTGGACTATAGGAATATTTATGTATTTTATTTAATTTATTATACTATGTAAATAATTATTTATCTATTTAGTAAAAAGAACAATTAGGTAATTGTTATTATTATTACACGTGTTGTACCTACATTTATTTTTAAATTTTTGTTTATTTCACAATGCAAATTCATATTGTAAATCTATTTTAATAACCGTATGCTACTTCTGTTTATGGTATGTTGTGAATAGGTATCCTATACCTACATAATAACGTATATTATGTAATAAAATAGTAACAAAGTGAAATCTGTATTCTGTAAATGAAATTTTATTTAAAAACAATGACCGTGTTCAGAATATAAGCCACAAAACAATAGTTATTGAATATTTTGTCTGTTTGCCTGTGTATCTGTGTGCATTTCACAAAATTTCGTGTAGTGATAACTTATTACTCGGGTCAACTTATAGGCTATCTCTTACTATAGGAAAATCTTTCATTCCTACGGGAAAGCACAATAACTAGATCTATCGAATCGCCCCTAAAAAACCTGGGTAAAGTTGGCAAAATTTTAAGAGATAGATAAATTTTAATGATTTATTACACAAAAACTAGGTTAAAAGCAAGGTTAAAAATTACCATATTTTACAATTTAGAGTGGTAAAATCTTTCATTTTCATGGGAAAATAAAAAAAAAGTTCCTGCGCAAGTCGCTGTTCTTTATATGTACCTACTACGCGACAGTAAGTCTAGTAACTAATAAGTAGGTACTATACACTAAGTTTTAATATTACAAAATCCTTTATTTATTATGTTATATATATACTTATTTTATTTTATTCTTTATAAAATGGATTGTTTGTTTATGGATTTATTATGAATATTATTTGTAAATTTTATAAAAGTCTATTACGTAATGGACCAAAGATATGGGCAAACGATTGTAGCCTTTTTGTGGATTAAAATATTTATGTTTTATATATTTTTCGATTTTCACTAATGCAGTTTTATTTTTAATTACCCAAATCCTAACATCTAATTTATATTTTTTGTTCATTGACCTTTATTGACAATGTAAATATTTTCTAATAATTAATACTTTGTGTACAACCGTTTTTCATTATTTTCATTATATCAGCCTTAGTTACTTTTCATTACAACAATATTTTTTCTGAAGTGCCATCCCATTCTACAACGGGTGTCGTCGCCCCTAAAAAAATTCTTACTTTAGTAAAAAAAATATTTTTTACTCCTCATTGGTGCAGTAGATACAGTGCGTTATTTAAAAGTTCACAAACTATTGTTGTTTATATAACTAAGAGTAATATCTTCTTTTATAATATAAAAATGAATCGTTAAGTGTGTTGGTAAGCGCAAATCTCGAGAGCAGCTGAACCGATTTCGCTAATTATTTTTTTAGAATATTCCTTGAAGTACGAGGATTGTTCTTACGGAGAGAAAAATTTAAATAAATCTCTGAAAATGTCTAAAAACAACACTTTTCTATACTCATATACAAAAGATTCGTAATGATACTTAAAAGTCAATTTGAACTTTAATACCATACCATATAGTTTAAGTGTTAGTTAAGAGTTTCCGGGAAGGCAAAACAATGGAGTGACGTTAGTATTGTATAAATATTAAGGTCAATATTTGTCAATATTAACAAAAAAAATATATATGGCTAACGCTGGCTAATAACTATTTATATCTATTTAAAATGTACCAAGCGATGAACCCGAGAGGGTGAGTCGCTAGTTGTTGAATAAAATATTATTATTAAATAATGTATTAATAGTAGCAAAGAAAAAAGCCTAATTTTCTTTAACGAACCAACCAACGAAACAACATAGACAATGCTCTTTGTGTACAGAAAATTGATGGTCGCTATAGAAGCTTTTATCAGGTAATATTCCATACGCTTCTGAAGTTTCCCGTCCATGAAAATACTATTTGAATGGCAAATACTTACATGTACATATATTTTGCAAAAGCTTTTTCAAAGCGATATTGCTTTATAAGGTAACAAATATTTTGTTATGTAATCTATTTCCATAAATAACAATGTCTTATCGTAAATACTTTTAAACATATAAGTTGCATATATGTTTGTAATTGCCTCTAAAAATCTATATTTTGATACCTCACTCAATTGATTTGGACACATTTTTGTTTTCAAGACACAAATTGGCGCTTAGGATCCGCGATTTTGATTTTTAATGATAACTATAGATATGACCCTATGATACTCACGATTTCAAGACGAATCGAGTAACGTATGAATCATCAGTATCGATTAAGCCGTTTAAGAATTACGAGGGAGCATAGGATCGAACATAAATATATACAAACAGATCAAACACATAACCCTCCTTAGAGCCTCGCCGCAGTCGGATAAATATACGAAAGTAAGTATCATATTATACATTTTCTTATATAAACGTTAAGTCAGTAACATTTTATATCGTCATTGAATATTAGGAAGTAGAGTCAGTTGGACAGCCTTGCGAAGGATGACATAAGGCTATAATAAGTAAGCTCTGATTGAGCCGTAGATTGCTGTTATAGTGACATCTATTCTAATTAGCTACTGAGATATATAATTGTTCCGTGAGACTGTGAGCAAGTTTCATGTTTTAATATAATATCTTTGCAACTAATAGACTTTGTATTACAAAAAATATTTGGTAGATAGGTACAAGATACCGCTATGTATAGTATTGCTAATTTATGCGGTAGTATATTTGTTAGCAGCTTTATAATAAACTAGCGGTTCACCCTCGCTTCGTTCGGGTTCTCCTCTAGGAAAACAAAAACAAATCTATCACGGGAACCGTACATTTTTCCGGGATAAAATCTAAAACGGATATAATCTATCTCTGTGCCTTTCATCCAGATCCATTTAGCCGTTATGGCGTGAAACAGTAACAAATATCCATAAATACTCACAAACTTTAACATTTATAATATTAAAAATAATACGGATTATCATCTAATATTTAGCAAATAAGCTCGTTTAATGTACATATTTAAGACTAACTATTGGCACATATTATTAAAAACGAACCTAAAACCTTCTAAAAGAAAATACACAAAAATTACTCATTACTCATAGGCTTTAAGTAAGGGTCTATGTGAAGTAGGATCAGCTTGTTAGAATTGTAATATGTTAATTGGTAGATAGTTCTAACGTTTTACATAAAATTAAAAGATTTCAAATCCTAATTTTTTTAATAAAAGGAAGATTTATATAATTTATTTACTGATGCCAACTAATTTTAATAATTATTTACAAATAGTAAAAGTGTAAGAAATTATGAATGAAAATAAGAATAGAGGCTTTTTCTAACATTAATAACAATGAAATATGTATATGTATAAGTAAGTTACATTAATTTTTATATTATATTATAATGGTGCATATTATTATTTATAACAGGCACTAATAATTATTAGTCTTAATTTTTTAATAATAATTATCTCTTAAAATAATTCTATTCGATACTATTATATACACGAAAGATTGTATGTGTGTATATTTGTTTTACACTGAAATGGTTCAACGGATTTTGATGAAATTTACTACACAGACAGGTATACTAAAACCTGGCGGAGTAACATATAGGCTAGACTGTTAGGCACTTTGTAGCTAGTATAATTTATACACATTATATTTATTATAATTATATTTATGTATTTCTTTGATTCGTATTTACAAAACGCAAGTTGGTAGAATTGCTTTTAAATATGAGCAGGCGCAATCATTTTATGAAATTTTGTGATGTGAAGTATCCTCATGGCTATTTGATTTTGACTTAATTTTATGTCGGTCTAACGTAGCGATATAATATTTGCTACCTTTAAGCAAAATGACAAGACAGGTCGTAAAAACGGAACTACTCGTAACTGTCCAAGGTGAATATCATATTGAATATTTATACTTATTAAAAATTGTTATGAATTTTATAATAAAATATAATAATAGGTTTTTTTTCAAACTACAGCTCTAGATATTTTTTTTTATTTAATAAATAGAGGAAATATTATAGGAACAATAAACAACAATACGTCAAGTTTAAGTTAGAAAAAAATAATATATGTTAAGTTAGAAAAAAACTAACCATCAAAACGTCCCTAGGGACAAACCCGAGCGAAGCGAGGGTGAGTCGCTAGTATACATTAGAACATAACATTATGTTAATTTATTTTTCCAATAAGAAATTATCTTTTACTTTAATTAAGTATATTTATTATTCTTTTAAAATATGACTTAAATTATTGGCGAATACCATAGATTAGAAAATTATTTGAGATATAGATACTACAAATAGATTCAGCGAAAGGGCGTGAAAGACTAAACAAGTGAGTGGACTACTGTGCGTGAAGTGTATCGTATTATAGCAAAAAGGAATATTGCGACCATTTCCCATCGGCTTCTAGTGTTACACATATCGAATCCAGCTTTCTAGTGAAAACGGAGCGTTTGTGGTGGGTTGTGCAATGTACCGGAAGACTAAGGGTACGGACAGAATAACAAGTTGTCTATTACAATGAAATTATATTTAATAATAATAAATAATAATATATTTGGGTTTATTTGTAATTTAACTGTATTTTATTCTTGTTTTTGAACTTATTATATCATATATTATAAAATAAATGTGATATTAAATACTTTTATTTATCTATTCTATAAATTTTAAACATTTTCTAAATATATATAAATAAGACATTCAGTATATTGTCTACTAGGTATATTGTATCTTAACTAAAACGTATTGTACTGTAAATTCGATATATTATTATTATATATCAATTATTTAAACACATAAAGATCTTTAATTCATGAAAAAATTTAAAATTACTTACATATAAATTAAACAAAACATACTATATTGCTGTCTCTACAAAATGTGTCTCAATATGAAGGGATCCGCAACAATTGTAACACATTGGTGTCAACAATTTATGTGAAACTGCGACGCCCCCCGCATTACCACAAGATGGT